TGAATGCATAAAAGAAATTGAAATAAAAATATATTTTAAAAATCACTAATGATTAATGAAAACTGAAAAAAAAATAAAAGCATTGGTCCTTCAGATCTGATTCTTGCCACTGCCTCCACATTAAGCTTGGATGATAACTTTTCATAAACTTAGTAGGTCTCATAATTCGCAGTACTATCCCCATCTTAGAGATTGGTAAACCAGACTCATAAAGATTGAATAACTTTACAAAATCGCCACACATTAAGTTGTGGAACCCAATTACTCCATACACAGTCTAGAACTAAGGTCCAAATCTTAACCAACATGCTCTCTGCCTCTCTCTGGTTTGCTATGTTATGGAGAAAATAACCAAAAATACGTGAGGGGAATTACTTTGGCTTTAGCTGGGTAGATTTTTTGTATGAATGGGACAGTTTCTTTCTCTGAGCTGATCATGCCCACGATTTCCAGACTGCTAGTAAAATCCAGCTTGGCGATTCCTTCAAAGCATTTCTTCAAGTGTGGCTGCACTCGGAGGGGATCCTTTGTCTCAGACAAGATCTCCAGCAGCTCATCATTTGACAGGAAGAAGAACCTATTTCAAAGAAAAAGAAGATTAACCGAAACCTCTTCTGAGAACTTCTTTTTCTAATCTGGTAATACTCTCTAAGAGATAGTTTACACCCAAGTAAACACCAGGTATGTTCTAGGGATTTCCCTATGGCCCACTCTCCTTTACCTTTTTTTATCTGGGGGATAGAGAGTGAAGATGAATTTGACTCTGAGCACAAAAGAAACAATGAAACATCATATATGTGAAATTAACATGATTGGGTGGTGGGGGGGACTGAAAAGAAGCCTGGATAGTGCAGTGGTTCTCAACTTTGGCTACACTTTAGAATCCCTGAAGAGCTTATAAAAACTCCAATACCAAAGGTCATTCCATCAGGCTAACACCAAAGGTCCACTGCCCAGAGAGTTTATTATAATCGATCTGAGAAGTTCGTATTTTTAAAAATTCCAGATGCAATTACTGATGAGAACTACTGGGTAGGAGGAGAAATAGAAAACTTTTTCCTCTTTCCTTCTCTCCAGGTATGCCAAAAAATGTTAAAGGAGTGTGATACAAGAAGGTATAAGATAATAAAGAACCCATTTACATGCAGAGGCCCCTACCTCTTTAAAATCACCAAGAGATAAGAAAACAAGTTTACTTCTCGCTAGGTCCTAAATCAGCAACAATAAACCTTCCAAAAATGTTAAAGGTACAAACCTCTATTGTGACCATAAGGCTGAAAGTTCCAAATTGGAGAAATCATATGATTATGATCTTCACTGAATATGATAGATTTCAAAAATGGCCACAATATTGGGAACCAGCAGTGCTGGACTCCCATGTAGTCAACCGCGTCGCGTCCCGGACCCGGTGGCTTAAAACTCATGCCGGGCGCGTGTGTGTGCGTGCCCAAGATCCCGAGAGGAGAATGGAGGAGAAGGGATTGTGGCATGACCATCCCCCCTGGGGGGTGATTTCTCGCTTTCTGTCTCTATGTCTCTCTTTGTTTGGTGAGCGCACGCACCCTATAGCAAAAATCTCTCAAAAAATAAAAATAAAAAAATGGCCACAATATTTATAGCTCCTCTCACCAAATGGTAGAATCTACTTCAATATCTCTTAAGTCTAGGCTGGCCCTATGTCCTGCTTTGGCCAACAGATAACACAGGTCTGTACAAGTTTCAAGACTTGACATCAATGGATCTCAAGGCTTTTACTCTTGCTGCTCTTAAAAACCCTGTGACCACTACCATGTGAATAAACATAGGCAAGTCTACTAGAGGAAGACATGTGGCTCAGCTATTCCTGTTGATCTAGCAAAAGGAAGTCAACCAGACAAGTGATTGAGGTCATTGACTACCAGATGACTACAGTAACATTCATGAACCTCAATGCGACCAGAAGAACCATCTAGCTGAGACCACTCAAATCTATTAGTTTGGGAGGAAAGTCAAGAAAACTCATGATGCATTTTTGCATAGAAAATACAGGTCATGACTTTCCCAACGACCCAATACCAACCCACAAAATTTTGAGTGAAATAAATGGTTGTTGTTTTAAGTTTCCAAGTTTTTGGGGTGGTTTATAATATAGCAAAGCAAACCAATGCATCGTATCTGCATTGTTGAACAGGTTCATCACTGGATAAGGAAAATGCTATATTAGTTTTAGCTTTATTCATATTTTATTATGAATAACACTAGTAAGTACAAAACTAGAAGTCCAAACCTCAGAGATTTTCTGAATTTATTATCTTCCCATGTCTTTTGCTTCCAAATCAGGTCTCCTTCCATTATTTGTGCTATATTTATATTGTCTAATACAGAAACCACCAACCATGTGTGACTATTTACATTTAAACATTAATATTATAAGGACCAGCAGATGGCGTAATTGTTATGTCACTGGACTCCCAAGTAGTTGATCACAATTTGAGTTCTGGATTCGGTGGGCTTAAAACTCATGCCGGGGACATGTACATGTGTACCCAAAATCCCAAGAGAAGAATGGAGAAGGGATCACAGCATGGCCATCCTTCTGTGGGGGGGAGGGGGTGATTTCTCACTTTCTGTCTCTCTGTTTCTCCCTGTGTCTCCAGCGAGTACATGGGCCCTATAGCAAAAATATCTCTTAAAAAATTAATGTTAAATACATTAAAAATTTGCTTTCTCTGTCACAAGATACATTTAAGGTGCTTAATAGCCACATGTGGCTAGCAGCTACTCTATTAGACAGAACAAATGGAGAATATTTCTATCATTGTAGAAAGTCTATTGAACAATGCTCTACTAGTTACCAAGGACATTTCTGAATTCCCAATAACCACTTTCTTTTGATAGAGAACAGAGAATTAACTTTATCTCGATATAAACGAATAAAATATACTCTCATCAAAGACAAATGGTATCAAACCTAAATCCTAACGAGTCAGATAACATAGACTGACCATGCATGGTAAACCAAATGTGGATGGATTTTCAGGAATAAGGACCCTCCTTCCTGGAACCCAACATCTAAAACAATTTGGATTTTTATGCAGAAGAACATTGTTTTGTGTAGGGCAAAACCAAGTCAAATATTTATAAACATAAAACTTGATGGTACATTTCTTAAACACAGTCCAGTTACTAAATGTTTACATGCATTAGCTCATTGATCTGCACAAGAAATATATGAAGCAGGGGTCATTATTATATCCCCATGTTACAGTGGAGAACTCGAGGCTCAGATGGTTTTCTGGAGATCTCAAGACTAGCAAGTGAAAAGGCTGGCACTCCAAATGAGGTGTGTTTAACTCCAAAGGCCAGGCTCCTTTTTTTCTTTTTTTTCTTTTTTTGGAGAGGTTTTTGCTATAGGGCACGTGCCTTCACAAGAAAGACAAAGAGAGGCAGAAAGCAAGAAATCACCCCCCACAGGGGATGGCCACACCGCAATCCCTTCTCCTCCATTCTCCTCTTGGGATCTTGGGCACACACGCACACGTGCACCTGGCATGAGTTTAAGCCACCGGGTCCAGGACTCGAACCACAGTCGACTACATGGGAGTCCAGTGACATAGCCATTACGCCAACTGCTGGCCTCCCCAAAGGCCAGGCTCTTAATCATGACTTCTGTGCCCCTTAAGTTGGGAGAAATAATAATGCTGTTAGCTAAAGTGTGGGTTTGATCCCCAGTGCCGTCCATTCAACCTCTCTCTGAATAATGACTATGTCTCAGTCCTAAAAGTTATCTTAAGGAATGGAGAACCAGGAAAATATTTGGAATAGATTGGTTGAAGCCAATTCTCAGCATGAAAAATGTAATTAACCTTCATATGGGTCAAGAAAGTATCTCCAAATAAAAGAAAAGTACTGAATACCTGGGGAAAAATAATCTCTTCTTCTCTAAGTAATCATTCAGCCCCTTCTGGATGTCCTCCAACAAAAGGTTGGCTTCTTGAAGCTTCTCAGACATTCGTGGCTGGTCTGCTGCCATCAGAACTCTGCTATCTTTTATCTGGGTGCCATCAAAATAAGTGAGAATCATTGTGGGGTTCCTAAAGTCTGAGGCTGATCATTGTAATGAATATATGACCTGGGCCAGCTAGCAGATGCAGTGGGTAAGGTGGCTGACTATACCACTGGTGTACTGACCCAGGGGCTTGAAAAACATGCCAGGTGCATATGTGCGTGCATGTACAAAATCCTGAGAGGAGAATGGAGGAGAAGGGATTGCTGCATGGTCATTACCTCTGGAGGGTACTTTCTCATTCTCATTCTCTCTCTCTCGTCAGTGCACATGCCCTACAGTTAATTTTTAAAAAATGAATGTGTGACCAGCTATAAATCAATAATGCCCCCTGCCCTGCTAACTGTCTTCCCTCACCCACTTCCTAGTCTGGGAGTTTAGAATTCAGGTCATGACACTGTATACTAGTCTGAGCTGCCCTTGAACAATGGGGCTATGAAACTGCATTAGCTTCATCTCCTGCCATGTGACAGAGTGGAGCTAATCAGCCTGCAGAGAGAGTTTGAAGCAGGCATAAAATGGGAAGCAGAGATCAGTATGGAAAGTACTTTGTGAGTTCCTGGGTTCTAGATCCAACCTTTGTGAGGCCTGGTTGAACTTTCTGCCCTCGGGTTCCACAAGATGCCCACTTAGTCTTTTTGTTTCAGCTTGGGTTTGTGAAACCTGCAACCAAAGAGCCTTAACTCATATAAAATAGGTTCCATTGCTGAGCAATAGACATTCCTATTTACTTCATTCCTGAAAACAAGCAGGGCAGAGAAATTCCCTTGAGACAAGTTCTTTGTAAGCACACTCCAATTTGAACACATTTGACTTAAAAGGAAAACAACATAACCTCTTAATAAATGGTTGCCCTGCATATTCAGTGATCTTCTCATCCTTCAAGGATTGGTTCCAAGGTCACCTGCTTTGGAGAACTTCCTTGACACTCCCAGGTAGAACTAAATCATGTCTCTGTATTGTAAATACTATTTGAATAAGTTTGTATCATAGCTCTTGCTTATCTATCTCCTTACAAGACAGAGTATCCTAGAAGGACAGAAATCATATTCTTGCCATTGTCAAGTAATTTCTGACTCTTAGTAGAATGCCTGGGTCATCATAGGTACTGAATAAACATTTGTTAAATAACTGAGTGACCAAATGTGGATAGTTACTGGAATTCTAAAAGGAGTTTCAATCTATGAAGGTTTTATTGTATTATTCTGCCCCAAATAAAAGTCTTCTATCTCATCAGAAATGAACTGTAAATAGTTGCCTATAGGGAAGTGGAATTTCAAAAAGGCTTCTACATTGTTATGTACTTCGATGTTGAAATTCTTATTTTTTCAAATAGGGATTTTTGCTATATGGCATATGTGCTCACCATAAAAACAGAAAGAGACAGAGAGGAAGTGAGAAATCACCCCCTGGGATGACAGCCAGACGGCAATCCCTTCTCTTCCATTCTTCTCTCAGAATTTTGGACATGAATACACATGCACCCAGCATGAGTTTCAAGCTTCCAGATCCAGGACTCAAACTATAGTCAGCCCTGTGGGAGTCTGGCACCTTAACCTACTGACCCCTATACCACCTGCTGGCCCCTATGGTGAAATTCTTAATAACTATAATCACTTTTGAAATTAGAAAAAGATATAAAAAAACACTGGTTTATAAAAACAGTTTGTTTACAAGTTTCAAGGACCATGACTACAGTGCACGAAGAGGAACATCTGTTGAGCTAGCATCCCTCCTTCTCCCTGGTGAGGTACACTAGGGTATGAAACTTACCGCTTGGGACATGAGTGATTTCCAATAACTATCAACAACGCCAAATTTCCTGCCTTCTTCTGGCATCTGGGCTATGATGTCCTCTGAACTGAAGATTGGTTCCAGGTACAGCCAGGTGGCTTGGCATTTCAACCAAGCATCCAAATTTTCCTGCACACGAACTAGCTTTTCTTCCCATTTCTGCGAATTTAGCATTTCATATCTGAATCATTAACTTATCACTATGCTTCACAGACTGAACAAATAGATGGATTCATTCATTTATTCATTCTCTTGTTTCACAAATACTTATTGAGAATTCACGATGTTCTGGTCACAGTCGCAATGTGAATACAGGAGGTAGATGTTATTGCAAATCTCATTCTACAGATGCAGAAACTGAGACATAACCGTCCAAGTAACTTGCCCAAGGTCATGCAACAATAACAAGGAAGAGGCAGAGCCAGAATTTGAACCCAAGAAGTCTGACTGGCGACTCTGTGCCATTTTCCTATGCCATTCTACAAATAATGAGCACAGCAGCCCTATTCTCTCATGAAGTTTACATTCTAGGTTATTATAGCCCATAAGATATTTTCCAAAAGTATGTTTATTTGGTGCATTGAAGTCTCATCTTTTGGCAGACTATTGCAAAGACTCAGTATGTCATGTGTTTACTTGGGTGGTGATTGCTTTCAGTTTTTATTTTTATTTTTATTTTTTTAACAATCAAGAGAAAGAATTTCTTTGTTAACTGAGGTTGTGAAAACCTTCCCCCCTCCTCCAAGAAACCCAGAGCTAATGGGACATCACAAAATATTCATTCACCCTCATTTCCTCTTACCCGGCATTCTGCTTCTATTGGTTTGATGAATGGGGAGCCACACATTGTCTGGGTCTTTATCACATGATCATCGAGGAGCAGTTGAATCTCATCAACTGCACATAAGATGTTTGTATCCTGCAAATGCAAATGCAAAATCATGAGACTCTCACTTTTCCTGTGGATCCCTGAGGGCCTCGCAGTTCAGAATGCCATTCAGTGGGACAAGAATATATGTCTTACAGGGTATGGAATTTTCTTTCTTGGAAGTATTCTTCAGGACATTTATTTTCCACCTTCATTGTAGAAATCAAATATAATCTAAGCCCAGACTCATAACAGGAATCCGGAGGAAGACTTGTGCCCCCTTCTCTACATCCTGCTTCTCTCATCTCTTGCTTTCCTGGTTCTCCTTACCCTCAAGCAAAGGATCGGCTGCTAACCTGACTTTTAGGTTTAAGTTCGAGGTTCCCAAATTGCACACTGATGCATCCCAGGGCACTTCAACCAATGCAGAGTAAGTCACTGAGGTTATTTAAAAACAAAATAGGCCCAGCTATAGTGGTGCACAGTTGCACTTTTCAAGCTTAGACCACACGGGAGGTCCAGATTTGATTTTCAGTCCAACATAAAGGCTGGACAGAGTGGTGTCTACCCGTAATCCTAACAATTCAGGGATGCTAAGGCAGGAGGATCATGAGCTTGAGTCTGGCCTGGACAACATAATAGTGTCAGCTGAGACCCTGATGAAGAAATGGATCACACATTTCTGCCCTAACAATTCTTATCCAAGTGAAACCAAGGCATCATGACCATTGAAACTGAAGAGGGGAAGAAGACACAATAGGATAACATGCAGCCCAAGAGAAAAGGGAGGTTTTAGTTCTTGGTCCACATTGACATTAGAAAAAAACAGATGGGACCAGCAGTTAGTGCGATGGCTATGTCGCTAAACTCCCATGTAGTCGACCGCGGCTGAAGTCCCGGACCTGGTGGCTTAAACTCACACCGGGCACGTGTGTGTACGTGCCCAAGATCCTGAGAGGAGAATGGAGGAGAAGGAATTGCGGTGTGGCCATCCCCCCTGGGTGGTGATTTTTCCCTTTCTGTCTCTCTGTCTCCCTCTGTCTTTCTGGCGAGTGCATGGGCCTTATAGCAAAGAAAAAACAAAAAAGACACTTGTTAGTTCTTTTGCACTGAGAAAGCATCTTCTGAATCAAAAAACCTTTCTGATTTGAAAATGCAGCTCTCCAGTGGTGCCTGAGAGGAAGAATGACCTGGCAAAGGAAGGCAGACAGGAAGAAACAATCAAGAGATTAGGGATTATTCTTGCTCTGAGCAAATCACCTCTGTCATCTACACCACAATAAATGGAGCTGCTTTCAGGGAGCTGGGGTTGTACTGAGACTTACAGTGTCCCTGTACTTCACGAAGTTGAAATTCATGTTAACCCAGTCTAACTTCATTTTCTCCAAGTTTTTCTCCAGAGAATATTCCTTACTGGCGGCTGCACCAATGGGCTCCAGTCTAAAGAGAGAAGAGAGCAACCACAACATCAAAGGAGGAATTTCAGCTCAGTCTTATGAGAATTTCACAAAGTCCTTCATTTTACCTCAATGTTTACTCTACTACCGTAAAATTCACTAACTACCTCCAGTGTGTTGCAAGGTCTCTCACCCCCAGTGCTACTGACTTTGGGGCTGTATTATAGGTTGACTATTGTCCTTCCAAAATGTTGACGTCTCGTATCACATTCTTAGTCCCTCAGACTGTGACTGTATCTGGATGAAGCATCTCTAGAGAGGTCATTAAGTTTAAATGAGGTCATCAGGGCAGGCCCTAATTGAGTATGACAGTATCCTTACAAGAAGAGATTAGGACATAGATACACAGAGGGAAGAGAATGTGAAGACACAAACGAGATGGCTATATGCAAACTGAAGAGAGAGACTCAGAAGAAACCAACCCTCTCAACGACTTGGTCATGAACTTCAAGCCTCCAAAATTGTGGGAAAATAAATTTCTGTTGTTTAAGTCACCCAGCCCTCAGGACTTTGTAGTCGCAATCTGTTAAACAAAAATTATGGGAGGCCATTGTTTTGGACTGAACTCCTGCACCAGGAGACCATATCAAGCCAAAATGGACTCCCTCCTACTAAATGCCACATAATCAAAACAAAACGTAAGGGAAGCAGATGGATCCTTAACCAGGTAAGTTTTTCCTGAAAACAGAAGATTCCAGTCTACCTGAGTCAGAGTAATAAGGAAATCCCCTTTGTTTGAACAACAACAATAAAAAAGAAACTGAAGTAACCTGCTATTAATAGGTTACAGTGAGGCCAACCCCCCGGGGAGTGCTTTTTTACTTTCCCTCTCTTTCTCTCTCTCTCTCTCTCTCTCTCGTTCTGTCCAGTTAGCACACATGCTAACTAAAGCCTGAAACCATCTGGTCTTTACTCATAGGTCAGGAAACTGAAGCTCAGAGGAATCAGGTGAGGAGCCTGAAGCACACAGCTGCGGAGTACCAGAACCAGATCTAGACAACAATTCTTTTTTTTTTTTTTTTTTTTTTGGAGAGATTTTCACTGTAGGGCGCGTGCGCTCGCCAGACAGACAGAGAGAGACATAGAGACAGAAAGCGAGAAATCACCCCCCAGGGGGGATGGTCACGCTGCAATCCCTTCTCCTCCATTCTCCTCTCGGGATCGTGGGCACGCACGCACACGCGCCCGGCGTGAGTTTTAAGCCACCGGGTCCGGGACACGAACCGCGGTCGACTACGTGGGAGTCCAGCGACATAGCCATTACGCTAACTGCTGGTTCCCAACAATTCTTAATGTAGTGTTTCTTCCTCCCCTACTATGTGCCTTCCCTGTCTTTGTCAGAAGGAGCAAGAGAACTATTCACATGTGGTCAATGAAAAAGGGCCAACTATCAATAAACATAGCTGAGAACTCACATTCAGCCTCATGAAGGGAGGTAGTCTAGGCTCAGATAATTCCAAACAGTGGTCATTATTTTAAATGTGGCCTTTGGGAGACAACTAAAATGAGTGTGCATATAGAGAATGATTAAGAAAGGCAGGTACCAACCCAGGTGAGCATGAGACAGAGAGTCATAAGGCCTAGCCTCCGGTGCTCACTGTCTGGCTGGCCATGGCCAATTCACTCTACAGTGCTCATCCTGCCTGTATTGAGGGGTTGTTAGTATAATTAAACAAAACCATGTGCTTGTACCGTGCCTTACAAACTACCTCAGGGTATGACTTAAAATGCAAATGATTGCACAGGGGAGGGATTAATTATTTTGGGAATCCGTGAAGTACAAGAGCTGATGTCAGCCAAATGTGCTACAGAAGTTCGTTAATTATGGGCTGTGACACAGCTGTATTAACTAGTGTGGGTGGTTACAGGGAATGTCAGACCTCACTAACAGGTGGAGCCTGGGTACCTCAGTATTAAACCAGTTCATATCACATCCCTATCTCATAATCCTTACAATAACTCTACTTCCCATTTTACAGATAAGGAGATCAAGGCTCACAGAGGTAAACAACTTGGCCAAGGCATTACCATTTTGGGATTTGTCATAATTGAGCACCCTTGCATGGAAAGTGGAAGAGTAGCTGTGTATTTGCTCCATCTCTATCTCCTAAGATGAGTTTATGTTTTAGGCAGTAATGGGTTAATAGTTAAGGATCTAGACAGTCTGCCTGGGTTCAAATCTCAGTGTCGGTCAGAACTGACATGTTGGTTCTTTCAGTTATAGCTGTGACTGATGGCTAGTTACTGAATCTCTCTACTCAGTTTCTTTCTTTATCTATGAAATGAGAATAACATTAGCTAGAACAATAAGTTGTGATGGGTCAATTCCCTAAGGTATTGTATATAAAATGTATGGTACAATGTAAGTGTTCAATAGCTGAGGTCTTTTGAACACATCTTACAGAGGTAAAATGAGGCCCTTTAGAAAAATAACCGAACTCTGGTAGTAATATATGTGTCTCTAGGCCTGCTTCTTCAGGAGGGAGAATAGAGGTGGTACTGGGGGAGGGCAGAGCATTCAGAGAGAGATTTGGGGATCAGGAATCACTTTAGATTAGACCTGCTCTGCTGCTGTGTTTGTGTGTGTGTGTGTGTGTGTGTGTGTGTGTGTGTGTGTGGAGGAGGGAGGGGGAAGAGTTTGCTCAGACTCTAGCATGTATCAGAATCACCCGAACAGCACTTTCTATTAGAAGTATAACGTTTAATTTGCTAGTGGGCATGTGCACTCACGAGAGAGAGAGAGAGAGAGAGAGATAAAGAAAGGGAAAGTGAGAAAGCACTCCTCTGCCCATGGGGAATGGTCATGTCACGATCCCTTTTCTTCCATCAGTCTCTTCCTCCAGCAGGGATCACTTTAGATTAGAGCTGCTCTGCTGCTGTGTGTGTGTGTGTGTGTGTGTGTGTGTGTGTGTGTGTGTGTGTGTGTGGAGGAGGGAGGGGGAAGAGTTTGCTCAGACTCTAGCATGTATCAGAATCACCCGAACAGCACTTTCTATTAGAAGTATAACGTTTAATTTGCTAGTGGGCATGTGCACTCACGAGAGAGAGAGAGAGAGAGAGAGATAAAGAAAGGGAAAGTGAGAAAGCACTCCTCTGCCCATGGGGAATGGTCATGTCACGATCCCTTTTCTTCCATCAGTCTCTTCCTCCTTTTGGGATCTTGAGAGTGCACACACAGATGCTCAGGAGGGTTCTCAAGTCACCAAGTCTGGGACATGACCATAGTCGGCCATGTGGGATCCAGTCCCCTTAAATACCACACCACTAGCTGGCCCTAATTTTAATGTTTCTAGTTACATTTTGAACACATAAACAGATAAAACTAGTCCTAATAATTTATTTTATTTCACTTACTATGAAGGGACTTCAATAAGTTTATGAGAAAATGGAATTAAGGTACAAGTTTATCTTGGTGTAAAATGATTTGAAATTCATGCAAAGGTTTTTTTTTCATAGTACTCATTTTCCATAAACTTTTGAAGAACCCTGGTATATTTAAAATATTCTCATTTAAAAATATAATCAGTAGAAACATTACTAGATATTTTGTATTCCTTTTTTTCCCTTAAGTCTTTGAAATCCAGCCTATGTTTTGAACTTGCACGTCTACAGTCCATACAGTAGTTCAAGGGCTCAATAACCATATGTGGCTAGGAGCTCCCACCCTGGACAGCACTGACTTGAAGGATTTACTAAAACACACATTGCAGGGACCAGCAGATGGCCTGATGGTTACATTGCTGGACTCCCAAATAGCTGACGGTGGTTTGAGTCCTGGATACAGGGGCTTGAAACTCACTTTGGGCACGTGTGCATGCATGCCCCAAATCTCACTGTCTCTGTCTCTCTGGTGAGCACACATGCCCTACAGCAAAAATTAAAATAAAAAACAAAACACTGCAGAGCCCACTTCTAGAATTCAATTTAGCAGAGTGAGTGGGGCCCGAGAATGTGCATTTCTAACTAATTTCCAGGTGATGCTGATGCAGCAGATGTGGGCATCACACTCGTGGAACCACATGTGTCAAATTAACCCAAACCCAACACGGCCTCTAGTTCAGGCATCTCAGCATCTCCCCAGCCATCACCCTGAAGGAACTGTGGAAAACCAATCAAGGTCCTAAGAGTCTTGGGGTTTAAAAATGCAATTCGAATAAAGCAAATTCTTACACACAAACTCCAGAGATATTTAGAGAAGGTGAGAAAGCAAGAGAAAAAATATCTTACTTCACCAAATTTCATGGAATTTTAAAATGTACAGGGCCATTACTGGTTCATTGTTATTTGTTTAAAAAAGAGGAAGGCTAAATGAGTCCCAGGAAGGCTAAATGGTTTTGTCCCAAGTGCTGAAAGCTGGGATTGAAACTCAGGTTCAAATAACTTAAAGAGAAAAAAACCCCATCTGGGGACTCATCATCTGGTCATTAGGTCAGCCGCTGAAAATATAAGCTTAGCCATTAGTTAGTCAGCTAGAGTGGAGGAAAAAGAGAAACAAACAGCCTGATCTGAGACTAATCAGATCACCATGGGAACTTACAGATATTATACTTTGGCTAAAAAATTTCCTAAAGGTAGGGAAGAGCCTTACTTTTCAATGTATTTGCCGAATCCATATTCCAGCATATTCAAGAGGCAAGTCGTTTCTGTGGGCTTTATTTCATAGCCAACAATCTCACTGATCTGACAAGAAAACAGAAAAATGAGCATCTTATCATACAAGGTAGCACTGTCCAATAGGAGTCTCTGTGATAATGGGAAAATTCTTTCGCTGTGCTGTCCAGTAGAGTAGCTATAGCCACATGTGGCTGTTCAGGAAATGTGGCTAGTGACTAAGGAACTAATTTTAAAATGTTATTTAATTTAAACTTTAATTGAATTAAATAACCACATACAAATAGTAGCTATTGAACTAGACAGTGCAGGTCTAAGGATTTGGTAGTGCCCATGCTACACCGGCCTGATCAACTGAGGGCTGATCTCCCTGTCAGTTTATGAACACTTTGAGCACTGGGGCCAGGTCTGGTTTGGTTTTGAACTTCCAGTTCCAGATGAAAAGACTGGATCATAATAGAAGCCACACTAAATTTGTTGAATAAAAGGAGAAAGTCATAAGTATGTAGGCCCCCTCACAGTCTATGATCTGAAGATACCGAGAATATCTCCCTTCTCACCTTACTGTGCCTACTTATTGGAAATTCCCCATTCTTCTGGTGTAAATACCCCCCTCGGCTTCCCTCTTAATGCATGCTCCTCCACCCCCACCCCAGAAAGGTCTTAAGTGAAGGCTGTGATGACTTGGAAACTTCTCTGAAATCGAAAGATTTGGCAGTGTGAGGGCTCCACATCCTGAAGAGGAGAATGAAGACTAAACGTAAATATGGCTTTATGAAACACCTCACCTTCTATTCAATTTTGTCTCTGTCTGGCCCGCATAAGAATAAAGAATAGCATCCAAATCATGTCATTTTCTCTCTTAGCTAGCCCTCTGTCCCTGGTGCCTGGCATTTAGTAGGCATCAAGAAGAATTTCTAAGTGAAGGTAAGGAACCAGCAGATGGTGTAATGGTTATGCTGCTGGACTCCCACATGACCGACCATGGTTGAGTCCCCAACTCTGAGGCTTCAAACACACACTGAAAGCATATGCCTGTTTGCCCAAAATCCCAAGAGGAGAATGGAGGAGAAGGGACTGAGGCATGGCCATTTCCCCTGGGGGTGGGGGAAATGATTTCAGATAATAAACGGAAGATTAGGACTTTGATCCAATTCTGATTGCAAAGTAGCCATCATACTCTACTATCTCTACTATCATCTACGAACGGTTGTGCAAGTTTTCCACTGCATAACTCTAGAAAATACAATTCATGCTATAGTACACAAAAATAGCATTCCTTAGAGTTGCGCAATGCACAATTTGCACAACTGTTTCTAATGACTCTCACTTACTCTGTTATGCTTGAAAGTACATCCTAGGACAACACACTGTCTCTGGAATTATTAATAAATGACTTAGCTATGCTTGACCTAGTACCATTCAAAAGACTCAGGAATTGGTAGTTTTATTTTTTACATTGCTTTTGCTAATTTCAGAGATTGACAGGGAATCTGGCTCTCTAATTGAAGAGCCTCAGCCTATGCTAGCCAATATGTAGTTATTAGCCCTTGTGGCTAGAGAGCCTTGAAATGTGGCTAGTCTACACCAAGATGTGCTGCAAAAGTAAAAACACAACACATTTCCAAGACTCGGTATGAAAAATGTAAAGTGAAATATCAAGTTAATACTTTTTCTATTGACTACATAATGTTTTAGATACATGTGGTCTTAAAAATCATAAAATTATTTGACCTGTACCTTTTTACTTTTTAAAATATGGCTATTAGAGACTTTAAAATTGAACACATGTGGCCAGTGGGTGGCATAGTGGTTAAGGCACTGGATTTCCACATTGATGATTGTGGTTCAAGCTCCAAACATGATAGCTTGAAAATCACACTGGTTGTATGTGCATGGGTGCCCAAAATCCAAAGAAAAAAGGAATTGTGGTGTGGCCATAGCCCTGGGAAGTGATTTCTCACTTCCCCTGTTACTATTTCTCCCTGTTGAGCACACATGCCCTATGGCAAAAGCCTTTTTTTTTAATTCTTTTGATAGTGCCATCTTATGAGGAACATGGGCACTACCAGGGCAGGCCTAACTAGCCATGTTACATATGGTTCACATTATATTTCTGTTAGACAGTGCCATCCTGTTCTAGGAGTCAGCTTTGGTGCTTAGCAGTGTGGTTTTTAAGGTCAAATATTACCTTTTTCTATCTGGTTTTAAACCACAGTACCAATCTCTTAGCTGATAACAGTGAAGTTCATGTGCCCCAAACATGGCACTACTTCTCCTGCCCAAATTCTGGTAAGTGGCCAGAAACCTTAACAGTCATTGCATGATTTTAGAAGATCCATCTTCTAGTCTTGAGAGCTACAGATATTTAGCCTCCAGAGCCCCTGCCAGAGTCAGCATCTATGTAAATAGATTGCTGGAGTTGGGCAATAGGGCGGAGAATGGCTTCCTTAGACCTGGGGCTATCACTGGGGCAGCTTATCATGCAACCTACAACTGCAGGCGGGAATGGTGTCTGAGTGGGGACAGCCCCAGGTGCATCTCAAGGCCTTTGTCCTCTCGGAGCCTACCTTTTAACTGCTCAACCCACTGGGCCTCCACTTTAGTTGCTTATTGTTCAGAAGCTATTTTCCTGGGCTCACATTCCACATTTACCTAAGGTTTGCTGCCCCCTACTGCCTGCTCACTCCTTATGGCCTGACAGTTCTGGTTTTCTTTTCACCTTCCTAAGTAGAGTCAAACAGATCTGGATTTTAATTCACTTCTCCACCACTAACTAGCCATGTTATAATAACATAATCTCTCAGGTCTTAGTTTTCCTATCTGGGAAATGAAGATATTAATAGCCCCTAATTCAGAGAGTTGTTCAGATAAAACGAGAGAATCCAAATAAAGTGTGCAACACCATGCCCAGTACTTATTTGGTACTCAATACATTTTCTCTATGTTACTTTTTTACTGTAATTTGATGGAATATTTTTTCTCATCTGTACACTTACATGGTCTATAAATGAGAGAATTATGAATGTCTACGACTGGCTAAATTTTTAAAGTAACCCACATGAGCGTAGTATCGTCATCATAGAGGAAGGGCCAGGTGAAACAGACGTATTCCTGAGTACCCCTGGAGTGTTCTTTAAACACCATTGACTAGGACTCTTTTGATAGTGCCATCTTATGGAGAGCACAGCCACTGACCAGGGCTGGCCTAATGCCCCAAGCAGATCAAAGTTCTAATTAGGCTAGGTCCATAGGGAAAGGCATCCTGTAAGTACCAGTTAGGGCAGCTGCCCCTCTGCAGATCCTTATGCTGGGACATTTTAAGACAAAAGGCTACTACCCTTTGCTTTGGTCCTGAGACTCAAGGATTTCTGGGGAATTGAAAAATCACTCCTTCATACAGAAAAATCCTAAATCTCTCATGTAACAAGACCTCTGTCTTCCTAAGGTGATCAAAATGCTCCATGCTGGGTCGTCAGGTACCATAGAGGTTAAGACAGCTGGATCCCACATGGTCAACTATACAGTTCAATCCTAGAGGTCGACTATGGAGTTTGATCCTAGACTGGGCCTGGCAGTTTGAGAAATACACCAGGCACATGTGTGTGCATGCCCAACATCCTGAGAGAATGGAAGAGAAGGGACTGCGGCATGGCCCCCTGCCACGGGGGTAGGGGTGGGTTTTTTTTTTTTTCTCTAGATAGCTCATCTGCCCTATAAGCAAACAAACAAACAAACAAAATTGTTACAAGTTCTCTGGGCTCAGGGCTCCATTCTCCTGAAGGTAAGGCCATGTGTTGCCAAACTTGGGTCCTTCCAGAGACTATGTCCTCAGATCTATATGTGGTCCTGAGAGAAAATTCCAGGTCAAGTCAGTGAAGAATTTGTCCAAGAAATCCATTCACGTTTCTACCTCTACATAGAGCCACTCACAGGTAGGGGACATTTCAAGGCCATTGCTAGCCCTTGAATGTGATGACTATTTTAGAAACACAGCAAGTTTTCTTTTTTTGCTTAGTGTTCACACCATACTTATCACCCTCACACTTGGCTGCTTATAAAAATCCCAACTATTTTTAGGGAGAATATTTATTATTCTCATTTACAGGCTCAAAGGGCTGAGGGAAAAGTGAAAAACTATTTCTGAATATGTTTGACAATAAAACGCCAGAGTCAGCCTGAGCAGGAATCATCTGGCATTAGTAGCAGCCCCTAGAGAAACATGGGACTTTTGTTTTTGGATATTTTAGGTTAAGGAACAAATCAAGGTCCTCCTACTGCAATTGGACAGCCTCACCATCCTTTCTGACCTCCAGTAGCCATTTGTTTAGGAAGCAGACAAGGAGACCCTTGTGGCCCTGCCTAGAATAATACTCGACCACAGGTAACAATGCCGCAAAGAAAACAGTCAGTCTATTCATGAGGCAGGTAGTTCATTCCATATCCCATCCTTTCTCTTCCTGCAGAAGGTGTTCACTCCTATTACTACTCTTCACCTTTTTTTTTTTTTTTTGAGAGAGAGATTTTTGCCGGAGGGTGTGTGTGCTTATTTGGAGAGACAGACAGAAGGTGAGAAATTGCCCCCTGGGATGGCCATGCCAAAATCCCTTCTCCACCATTCTCCTCTTGGGATTTTGGGCATACATATGTGCCCAGCATGAGTTATAAGTCACCAGGTCTGAGACTCAAGCCATATTCCAACTACGTGGAAGTCCAGCAACGTAACCATTACGCTATCTGCTGGTCCATACCCCCCACCTTTGACCTTGAGTAGATTCTCGTTTCATAAAAGATTCTCCTTTCATAATTGACCCAATAATGTTTTCTGCCTTCCGAAGGTCTACCAGGATCAGGTCGACTGGGCAGCCCAGGGGCAGTCGTGATAGGAACCTGCTGCCAGTGCCGGTCCTTCATTCCTGGGTTGCAGGAAATGCTGAGGATAGGAATGTGCTGCTTGAACTTATCAATCTTAATTTTCATGTTCTCTGCTAAACGTTTGGGTGCAGGTACATCAGCTAAGGTCTTGATCAATTTGTATGTCGTCCTCCACATATTCCCTATGTCTTCAGCAATTTCCTCAGCATTCAGTAAAAAGAGGGGCCCTGAAATAGAAAAGATGGGTGGGAGAAGGGTGTAACCAAGATGTTAGTCACACACACAAAAATGATCAATATATACAAAGAAAGATGTTAGTCATGCCTACCTTTAGTTCCCAGAATTCAGGATTGGTCCTATCTATGGCTACTGGAACAGCGTAGTTTTGGGGTTGGGCCTGGATCTGAAACCTCTACTTGACCAGTAAACTTGGGTATGGTATTGAACTTTTTAAACATTTAAAAAAAAATATTTTTGCCATAGAGCACGTACAATTGCCGCAGAGACAGAGAGAGACAGGAAAAATGAGAAATCAGCCCCCCCACCACCACCACCGGGGGGATGGCCATGCCTCAATCCCTTCTCCTCCATTCTCCTCCTAGGATTTTGGGCACACATGCACCTTGTATGAGTTTCAAGCCACCAGGTCTGGGACTAAAACTGCAGGTGGCCATGTGAGTGAGAGTTCAGTGCCTTAACCACTATGTCACCTGCTGGCCCGGTACTGGACTTATCTAAGATTCAACAATGTCACTTGTGTTACAGGAGCAATGATGGATATCTGGAGGGGAGAGAGGGGGTTAGGAAAAATAAGTGATAATGTAAGTGGCTAACATAATGCCTGGTATAAAGGATGTGCTGTTATAGTATCAGCTACAATTATGGTAGAGGTTGTTACTGAAGTATTACAAGGTGCTCCATGAATATTGTGAAATATTAACATCTGGGGCATGTGGGTAAATGGGGATATGGGAGTCCTCTGTATAGTTCTGGCAATTTCTATGTAAGTTTTAAATTATTTTAAAATAGATTTGTTTAGGGCCAGCCCTGTACCTAGTGGTTAAGGGAGCTGGACCCCACATGACTGACGATGGTTTGCTTTCAGTCTTGGCAGCTTGAAAAATATCCCAGGAATGTGTCCACGTGTGCCCCAAATCCTGATAGGATAGAGGGATGGAGAATGGACTGTAACATGACCATGCCCCACCAGGGAATGCTTTCTATATCTCTATGTCTCTCTGTCTCTCATTCTCTCTCTGGTGTATGCACACAACCTCTGGCAATCAAAAGGCAAATGGATTATTTTAAAAAGAAAGAATGGCACCTCACTTTTTAAGTGCTCTACAACATTGATTTCCTTCTCCACTTCTGGAGGAGACATTTATATTAAAGGGAACCCTTAACGTTTGGATTTCGTATTCAACCAAAACCTTTCTGTGTTGCTGTTTCCCCTAGGATATTTTAAATTAGTATTTATACTTACATTATGATGTTGCTAATTTACTCAAAAATCCTTTCAGAGCTGCCAAGACTAGAAGTAGCTTTATTAATTTGTTTTGTTTCATCAACTCAACATTTTTACTGAGTAATCAAAAATAAAATAAAAAAGAGAAAGAGGGAGAAATGTGTGTGTCTTCCCACATCAGGAAATATGGTAGGTGCTGGGCTAAAATGAAAAAGAACCTAAATGGCATGTCAGTTGTCCCCATTTGAGAGGGTTTGGCTGAATTATCAGTGGCTTTACCAGTAGGATGAATAAATTAGGTAAGGCTAACACTTGGTAGTTTCCACTCTACAGTTTCATTAAAGTTAAAAATTTCTGCTCTGTCAAAGAAATTTTCAAGAGAATAAGATAAGCCACAGTCAGGAAGAAAATATCTGCAGAATATATATCCAATAAAGGGCTGATATCTAAACTATTTAGAGAATCCTTAGAACTGAACAATAAGAGAGGGTTGGATAGTGGTGCAATAGTAAAACATGATGCTCTGCAAGGCAGACCCACATGGAAATGGTGGCTGGTTCAAGCCCAGAAACCTCTCTGAGTACTTAGGCACATATATTTCCATGAGCTGAGCTGTTTGAAACTGGGGTGGATTGTGGCACCAGGACCCTGTTAGAAGAGGTATCTTTGTCTGTCTGTCTGTCTGTCTGTCTTTCTCTCTTGCACTCATGGAATTTTCCTTTCTTTCTTTTTCCTTTATTTATTTGCTATTGGGTGTGTGTGTCATCTCCCAGAGGGAGGGCCATGCCACAATCCATTATCCTCCACTCTCCTCTTGGGATTTTGGGCATGCATGTATAGACATCTAGCATGATTCTCAAGCCACTGGGTCTGAGACTTGAATCGCAAAGCTGGCCCTGTGGGATTTAGTGCCCTAACCTCCATGCCACTTGCTGGTCTTCTAAATAAATAAACATTTTAAAGAGCTCAACAATAATTATTTAAAAATGGACAAAAGACCTGAACAGACATCTCACCTGCAAAGATATACAGATGGCAAATAAGCATATGAAAAGATGCTCAACATATGCCGTTAAGGAACCGCAAATTAAAACAACAACAAGATACCACTACACACCTGTTAGAATGGCCAAAATCCAAAATGCTGGCACACTAAATGCTGGCAAGGATGTGGAGCAACAGGAATTCTCATTCATTGCTGGTGGGAATGCAAAATTGTACAGACACTTTGGAAGACAATATGGGAGTTTCTTACAAAAGTAAGCATATTCTTACCATAGCATCCAGCAGTCATGCTCCATGGTATTTACCCAAAGGAGCTGAAAGCTTATGTCCACACAAAATCCTGCACATAAGTGTTTATATTATCTTTATTTATAATTGACAAAATTTAAGAACAACCAAGATGTCCTTCAGCTGGTGAATGGAAAAACAAACTGTTGAACATCCAGACAATAGAATACCATTCAGCACCAAAAAGAAATGAGCTATCAAGTCATGAAAAGACATGGAGGAACCTCAAATGGATATTAGCAAGTAAAAAAAAATAGCCAATCTGAGAAGAACACACACCATATGATTCCAACTGCTGTGGTCCCTCTCCTTATCTGTGGTTTCTCTTTTTGTGGATTCAGTTACCTATGGTCAACTACTATCCATTTATAGGTGAGTAGAATATATTAAGATATTTTTATAGAAGGAGAGAAAGAAAGATGAGTGTGTCCATAATCATAAACATTTATTATAGTGTGTCTTATAATTTTTCTATTTTATTATTAGTTATTATTGTTACTCTTACTGTGGCTAATTTATACATTAAACTTTATCATATGTATGTATTTACTTTAAAAAGCATTATAATACTTACAGGGCTCAATACTATCTAATGTTTCAGACATCTGCTGTGAGTCTGCAACAGGTCCTAGTAGGAAAGGGTGACTACTTTATATTACGTTCTTGGAAAGGCAAAGCTACGAAGACAGTAAAAAGATCAGTGATTGCCAATGGTTGAGGGGAGGGTGGAATGAACAGGCAGAACACAGAGGATTTTTAGGGCAGTGAAATGATTTTGTATACCACTATAGTGGTGAATACACGCCATTACCCATTTGTCAAAATCCATAGAACATAAGCCACCAAGAGTGAACCTTAATGAAAACTGTGGATTGGGGGTAAGGATGATATGTCAATGTAGGTCCATTGATAATAATTAACACACCACTCTGGTGCTCGACACTGACAGTCGGGGAGACTGTTTATCTGTGCAGGGAGGAGGTTTATGGGAATGCTCTGTATTTTATGCTCAGCTTGCTAAGAATCCATATATGCTCCAAAAAATAAAGTCAATTAAAAAGGGGGAAGGGAGAAGAGACAAAAGCTCTCTAATCAGGCTAGATTGGTTCCTGATAGAAGAGGAATCCTACTATATCCCTCCTTATCACTGCCATTTACAGAGAAATAGTAAATACGATGCAAAAAGAAGATATTTAAAAGCAAAGGGCTTTAAAGCAAGATAATGATCTTGTACTGAACTGATTTCATCTCCTGGGTGCTCGAGGTACTGTATACATGATGAGTCCCCTGAGCCAGGCTCAGTGCTGAACATCAGGGTTGGAATGGTATCCCCCACCCACCCTGCCGATGAGAGGAGAGCTGCAGTTACTGCCTAAGATTAAGTCTCATGTGAAGCTGAAAAACCTACAGAGAGCAGGAAAATCTCGTAGTCCTGAACCCCAGCTGACTTGATCAAGGTCCTGAGCCACACGACTCACAAATGTAGGGACTGGATGGAAAAGATAATAAAAATCAATTATATTTCTATATACAAGCATGGACCAATTAGAAATGGATATTTTAAAACATACATCATTTATGGGAGGGTGAAGGGAAGAGTATAGAGAAGGATAGCAAGAGAACAAATAGAGAGGCATGACATTAGTGGGACACAGAAATGGTTCACTACATATTGATGATAACATGTACAGTATTCTCAACTGGGCTGGTCTGGGAAGTATTTCATGTTGGGTAAATTCTATTTACAAGCCAAATGATATGTAGTGATTGAATGTTCAAAAAAATGAGAATAAATAATAATAATAATCTGAAAAAAAAATGATGAAAAACTATTTGATGATGATGATATGGATAGTAATGTCTTTGTCATGACTGAAATGCATGATAATCTTGCTGGAAAAAGAAATGTAATACATTATAAATATACATGTGATTAAATGTAATATAAAATTATGATAGTATAAATAAAATTAAATAAAAAATACTTTATTTACAACAGGTCCAAGAAAAGAAATACTTATGTATAAATTCAACAAAATGTATACTGGATCTTCACCCTGAAACCTATGAAACACTGGTGAAAAGAAGTCAAAGAAGTCCTGAATAACTGGAGAGATGTACAGTGTCCATGGGTTAGAGGACTTAATCTAATAAATATGTCAATTATTTCCCAATTGATCCATAGACTAGCACATTTTAAAATGAAAATCCCAGCAGGTTTCCTTTACACACATACACACACACACACACACACACACACACACACACACGTATGTATACAGACAGAGAGAGATTCTCAAACTTAAATAGAAAGACAAAGATACTAAAATAGTCTAAATAAAATCTCAAAAGAGTGATGTTAGAGAAATCACACTATCTTTTTTTAAAAAATCATTTATGTAATTTTATTATTATTATTATTATTATTGTTATAGGGCATGTGCACTTACCAGAGACAGGCAGAGAGAGAAATAGAAAGCAAGCCACCAGTTCTGGGGCTCAAATCACCATCAGCTATGTGGAAGTCTAGTGCCCTAACTACCAAGCCACCTGCTGGCTCCACACTATCTGATTTTTAAGACTTCCTTTTAAAACTATAGCTGTCAAGATGGTGTGGTATCAGTGACGTAGATCAATGGAACAGAACAGAGTCAAGAAATCAATCTACGTAATTGATTTTTCACAACGGGCAAAGGCAATTCGATGGAGAAAAATATTTTTTTCAACAATTGTTCCAGTTGCTAAAACAATTGTACATTCATATGCACGAGAATAAACGTGAATTAAACCTCACACTATAAAAATTAACCCAAAAAGGGCCATATATTTAAATGTAAAATATAAAACTATAAAACTTCTAGAGAAAAGCATCGAAGATGTATTCATGACTGGGGTTAGGCTAAGAGTTTGTAGAGAGAACATCAAGAGCACAATCCATAAAAGAAAGATTGATAAATCGAATTTCATAAAAATTTAAAACGTTCTCTTTGTGAAAGATGCCATTAAGAGAATAAAAAGACAAGCTACAGACCTGGAGAAAATATTTGTACATCACATATCCAAAGGACTTGTGTCCAAACTTTGAAAACTCAACAGTAAGAAAACAAACATCATAATTAAACAAATGGGGGAAACACTTGGATACTTTACCAAAGGAGACATACAAACGGCAAGCAAGAATGTAAAAAAGATGTTAAGCCTTGCTAGGCAATAGGAAAATGCAAATTAAAATCATGATGAGACACATAACCACCTTTGAGAATGGCTAAAATAAAAAAACAAAACCTAACAATACCAAGTAAAATGAAGATGTGGTACAACTAGAACTGTCACACATTCCTAGCTGTTGATAAATGATAACAGCCACTGTGGAAGACATGAGTCTGGCATGTTTTTACTTTAGAGAAACTAAAACTTATGTTTATACAATACATGAACATAAATGTTTATAGCAGCTCTATTCATAATGCCTGAAACTGGAAACCACACAAACTATCCACCAATAGGTGATTGGTTAAACTGGTGTATTCATAAAATGGAATACTATTCAGCAATAAAAGTGAGCAACCTATTGCTACATCCAATAATTTGAATAAACCTCAAAGGCAACATGTTCCCTATATAGGAGAGTCCCGAAAAGACAAAACTATAGTAGCAGTTAAGAGATCAGTAGCTGCCAGGTATTACAACTGTGGGGAAAGTAGGGCTACAAAATAGTAGTATAAGGTAGTTCCATCATTTATTGAAATGATGAAACTGTTCTTTTTATGACTGCGTACATGAATCTATATACATGTGTTAACATTCATAAAAACGTTTGCCCAAAGTGTCATTTTTGCTGTATATGAATTTAAAAATAAAATATAAATAAAACACAATATCTAACTTCAATAAAAATGTTTGGTAAATCATAAAGACTTAACACCGCAAAAGTTTTTTTTTCCAAAACCAACATGAAAAAGTCTTGTTTAAATGTGAATTTGAATAATTCCCATTAAAATAAGAAATAAGCCAAAATGCCCATCACTTTATTTTGGAAGTGCTAGTCAACACAGAAATATGAATTTAAAAAGAGGCTATGAAAATGACTTTAAAAAGGAAATAAAATATTCTGATTATAAAGATATGTGATTGAGTATTGAAAAAATTAAGAGCAGCAATTGATATATTATTCAAGGGACCAGCAGATGGCATAATGGTTACGCTGCTGGACTCCCACACAGTCACCCACAATTCAAGTCTTGGACCCTGTGGCATAAAATTCATGCCGGGTGCATGTGCATGTGTGCCCAAAATCCTGAGAGGAGAATGGAGGAGAAGGGATTATGGCATGGCCAACCCTCTCTGGGGGTGATTTCTCCCTTTCTGTGTCTCTGTCTCTCTAGTGAACACATGTGCCCTATAGCAAAAATCTCTTTCTCAAAAAAAAAAAAAAAAAAGAAGAAATATTATTCAAAACTAAAAGTTCTGTAAGGGAATTTAATAACACTCTAGAAAAAAAATGGGAGAGTAAAAAATGGGCTTTAAGGAACAAGGAATTCAACTGTCCAACTCAATATGAACTTTAGGTAAACCAAAGATTTTTAAGAATAATAAATAAAAGAATACCATTTTAAAAATCAAATCAGCAAAAAGGTTTTCAAGGTTATTATTTCCCAAGTTTGTTGAGGGTGTAGACACTCTTAACTACTACTAGAAGAATCAATTAAAACATAAAACTTTTCTGGAAGACAGTAACAAAAGCACTTTTTAAAAACTTAATCATTATCATAACATATACTTTGATTTAGTCATTTCACTTTTAGAAATTCATCCTAAAAAATAGTCACAGTTGTGCCCTATAAATTGTCAATAAAGACATTCATTGTAGTTGTGTTTATAACACTGAAGGACTAGAAATGAATTCAAGACTTAACCCTGAGGGTCTCTGACTTTGCCATCTGCTCTTAAACACTTTCCATAGGTGATGTCATTCATAGCTTTAACTGTAATCCACACATCAGTTATTCATCAGTATAAATCTTCTTCCTCTCCTAAAAATCCATATTGATAGGTCTAATTGTTATATTCTCATTTGGATTTTTGCAGACACCTCAAACTCAATGTATTCAAGTTGATGTTTTTGTTTGTTTGTTTTCCCCATAAATTGATCACTTCTCTTGGGGACAGCCAGTGGTTCGGCAGTAACGCAATGCCTTTTGATGCTGAACTCATCCAGCATCCATGGTATTTTACAGACGTCTGTGGTACTGTTGAGTTTTCTTGAAGCAACACCACCGTAGTGGAACAGTCATATTATCCTCTCTGAGTCACGGCCCAATCTATGACTCTCGGTGGTTACCTATTCTATTTTACCACAGAACTAGGTCTGACTCTTTCATCTCCACCTTCTATCCTTATCATCACATCAGAAAACTTTGACTGTAGCTGCCTTAGTCTGAAGGGTCAGAATCTGATGAAAAGTCAAGCCACAATCTGAAGTGCAAACCTTATTTCAGATCCTCCACCCTGACCCCATCCCACCCCCAATCTGTCTCAAAGAGTGAGACCACACATACCATTCATCCACTCCTCTGATTTGGTGCTGAATTCATAGGCTGTCACCCACAGTTGCTCATAAGGCACTTTGTTGGTCATCAAGGTTTGCAGAAGAGGGAAAGTACTCTTCTCCTTTTCCAAAAGCTCTTCTTCCTTATTGATCAACTGTGGAAAAAAGAAGATGCCATTTACTGGGTGGATGGTTCCTCTGAGCCCTACAAGCCACCATGCTAAATTCTCCAGTACCTCGAAAACCAAGTGGAGGAAGTTGTTCATTAGTCTGGAGGGTAAGAGAAGAAAAGAAGGCAGGAACTCAGCAAGAAGGTCCTTCTGCTACTTTTAAAAACCACAGCAGCTGACATCAAGCTGGTTACAAATGCAGAATAATTTGCTATTGGCTCCATTTTTGTTTTCACTGTACCATAGCCCTGTCTCTGCTTTCATAATGTTTCTATGTACTTTAGCTGTTGGTATGATCTCACCTTCTTACACTGACTTGCCTCAGAGGTATGAATTTTAATATTAATACTTAAAGAGCTTACTAGCTGTCCTTTGGGGAAAAGTTTTAGCTTCTCCAAGCCTTAGTTCTCCCACTTGAAATAGGGATAAATGGGGATACTTACAGTACCTACTCTAAAGTTTCGTTACCCCAAAGGGATTAAGATATTACACTTTGGATGTTGTCAATCACATAATAAATGTTCAACATATATGAGCATTTACTCCATTATAGTTTTTCTTTGTGTATTCAATGACTAACACAGACTCTGGTGTAACATAGGGGTGTGGAATAAAGTAGCTGAACGTAAGGATGAAAGAACTGCCTAATCAATTAATAAATCAATACTATTCACGTAATAGATGCTGTTAATAAAAATACAAAACCAAGGATCAGAACCAACAGAACAATACAGTCGCAAGTCTTTATCCTAAGATCCCAAACCTCAAATTCCACCAGCGCCTGATCTAGATTCTTGGAAAGCTCATTAAGCTTTTCGACATTGTTCTTCATTTCTTCAGTAGTCATCACTTCACGCTTCCTGAAGCCTTCCAGTTCCTTGTTGTAGCCCTCAAGTTTTGACTCAAACTCCAAGCACCTGAAAGTAAAGACACCAGTCACATTTGGACTTTCCATTTCGTGCACATTCACAGTATCAGACTTTTTTTTACCCATATCCAAAGCTGGAGAGAATTTTATCTTCTGGTCACTGCAGTTCTTATCCCCTACTTCTCTCTGCCTCTACCTTCATATATCCATTACTTTATCTATATCTCTGTCTCTGAAAATAAATGAAGAGGAAAAATACATCAAAATACCTATAATCCCACCCACCCCCAGGGATAGAGCTTCTGACAGCCTACTAGTGATGAAATATTTCCAGATGTTTTACTGTGTAGATAAATATGTATAAAACGTAGTATATATATGCTTTTTCTTCTTTCTTTCCTTTCTTTCTTTCTTTCATTCATTTTTAAAATTGACCAGAGAGCACCTGTGCTTATCAGAAAGAGGAAAAGTGAGAAAGCACTCCCCATGGGAGATGGTCATGCTGCAATACCTTTTCCATTTCTCCCACTTTTGGGGATTTGGGGCATGTATACACGTATGGCCAGCATGTTTCTCAAGCCACAGACTCATGGACTTGAACCGTGCTTTCAGTCATGTGGGATCCCACTGCCCTATCCACCATGCCACAGATCCGCCCTAGGTTTTATTTCAGATTGCACTGTGGTAAATAGCCTCTAAGGATCTCTAATGATCCTCACCTCCCAGTATTTGTCCTTTGTGTAATTGGCTACCTTAGAGTTTGGGCTAGACTTAGTAACTCATTTCTAACAAAAAGAATATGCCACTTACAAGATCAGGTTACAAAAAGCCTGACTCCTGTCCTGCTTGCTTGTTCTTTCTCTTAAGTCACTCTTGCTCTGAGGGAAGCCATCTACCACATTGTCAGCTATACCTTGGAGAGGCCCATATGGTAAGGAAGATAGGGCAGTTTCTGGTCAGCAGCTTATAAGGAACTGAATCCTAGCAATGATCATGTGAGTGAGCTGGAGATAGAATCAGCCAGTGAGCCCTTAGATGAGACTGCAGCCTGGGCTGACATTCTGACTGCAACCTCCTGAGAGCCTACGTTTCTGACCCACGGAACTGGAAGGTGAATTTTTTATTAAGCTGCTATGGTTTGGGATGATCTGTTATGCTGCAATAGAAAAATAATACGATTTTATTATTTCTGTTTCTTGGAATCTTTTTGAAGTCCTAAAATATGGCCAACATTTATAAATGTTCTATAAATCATTTAAGAAGAACAGTCACTTTCCGTCATAAGGCAGAAGGGAGATCTATCTATCTATCTATATTTAGTTGGAGGAGAAAATATAACTTACTTCGATTTTCTTATTATTCAAGTTTCACCTTATTCACAATTTAATTAATTTCTTTATTCAACACTTGTTCAAGTGTTGATGGCTGCTTTACCTTTATTTCACTCATCTAAATAATTATCTTTGAATCACTAATGTTTTGACTTTGGCTATGTTTAATATTGATATGAGTGACTCTACTTTCTTTTTTTTTTTTTCTATTTCTATGCTATACTCTTGCCCATAGACAAACTTAAGTTTTCCCTTTTAGCCATCAGAGTAGGCAATCAGGACCAAAATTAGATTAATAACAGGATAAATCATCTACTAAAAACTCATAGGGAGTACAGAGAATAGAATAACATGTTAAATGACACCACAGAGGTACAATCAGCAGCCTAGATTTGTGGACAAGTGCTTGAGTTTCTTTAATAAATAAATTTCAAGTGAAAAAACATAGGAGATGGAGGGCAAAACTACAGATTAAAAGAAATTTAAGAAATATGCCAACCAATTGCAATGTGGCAGACATATTTGGATCCTAATTTAAATAAGTAAAACATAAAAAGAAAAAATTAAGTAGATCATTGTGGTCCCCAGGTTAAAAATTTTCTGTGACTTTATATTGTACTTAAAAAAAGAAATACAAATTCCTTACTGTGACCTCAAGAACCCAGTCCTCTGAATCCTAGATCCTCTCCATATCTCCACTTAACTGGCTCCTTCTCATCCTCCAAGTCTCCTATAAAATGAGACATTCCCTGACTTGTCCACTGAACACAATCACTATGATTTGTTTCCCCATTTGTTTCCTTCATAGAGCTTCTGTATTTATCTGTTTCCCACCATCCCATTTGACAGCCATGTGCATAAGAGCAGTCTATGTATCCCTTTTGTCCTCTGTATCCACAGAGAAGAAGAATAGACAGGAGCACAAGAGGGGAGCAGAGAAGGTGGCTCCTTCACCACCTTGAATCTTAGATTCAAGATAGAACACCTAAGAGTGCTCAACTTTTGTTTGCCTTTGTTTTATAATTGTAGAGCCCAGTAGGCATTAATTTTACAGACTGTCCTTACTGTGACAAAGTGTCATTCACTCACTTATAACAGTAATCCTCAACTATACGCAAGGCACTGTACTCTGAATCCCCTGAATCCTGGGGAAACAATCCTGAGCGCTCTCTAACACATTTCCTTTCTGCCTCCAAGATGCCAAAGGGTTTTCCATTGCACTCTCATGGCAGGGAGCAGCTCACGTACTTGAACTGTCCTTTATGTATTTTCCATGTTGCTTTCAGGACCACAGAACCTACCACCAAGTTGTACACAACGGCGGAGGAGGGGACTAAGCCAATTTTCCTGTTGTCTACACAATTAGGTGCTGTCGGGTGCCTTTTCAATCATTAAAATTCTTTCTGAACCTTCAAATGCTGTACCCACATACAAAGAGAAATCCCTGATAAAAGCAGTTTTGGATTCTTCTCAGAGGGCAATGGTATGTAAGCTTAGTGATTACCTTGAAATATTACTACTATTATTTTTAATTTCCTGTAATTGCTCAGCACATTATAATTTCCAAAGTACTTTCATGGTATAGAGAGTCTATACAGTAATACACTCAGGAAATTAGGTTGAGTAAATGAGTCGCACTTGCAGGACCACCTGGAGTCTAAAGGATAATGTAGGAATTTAAAGATGTGAACTGGTCAGAATTCTTTCAAGAAATAGAATTCACTCCAACATTTAAAGAAAGACACTTCACTGAAGGAGCCACTGACAGAAGCGAGGTGTAAATGGGGTTAAAAGAACAAATAGGGGACAGTGAGACTCTAGAAGCTACCCTCAAAGGGAAGGTACTGTGGACCCCTAGGGCTGAGGAGACCATGAGAACTGAGGAATGCAGCTTCTGCCTCCTCTATCTGAATTGACAAATAATGAATGAAAAACGATTATAAGCACGTTAGCACAGCACAAAACCAGCTGCAAAAGAGGTAATTTCTCAGCCTCCTACCCTGCCTTTGTTATCCCTGTCTTGATATTTCACAGATCCCTGGTCTCCAAGGTAAAGCTGACAATTTTGCTGTTATTAGTATTGCAGAAGCTATTATTACATGCCACTCCTCTTGCCTTTCTCTCTACAAAATCCAATTCCAATTGTTCAAGGCCGGGAGAGAAAAGTTGGCAGAGGTTACTACAGCCAAACAGGCTTAGGAAGACCATCCCTCAATGGGAAGTAAAAGGAAATTCCTTCACCATTTATCTTCAGCCTTTGCCCACACATTGCTGTGGTGGGTTCTAGACAGAACCAGAACCTGCAGCCTGAGTTATGAAGTCAGGTCACATGTCCAAAACAAGCCCAGACTCTCCCGGTACCTTTTAATCAGGTCCATCTCTGCCTGATCCCTCTTGTTTAGGAGAAGGTTCCGGCTGTTATCGAAGATATCTTCAATCTGGTCTGGCCAGAGGAACAGAGTGCTGTTCAGTTTGATATCCTCTGCTGCAAAACACATGCAGACTGCTTCAGGACACTGCAGCATAGGTCAGCACGTGGAGAATTAATTCAGCAGAGCAGAGGTCAGGAGAAGTGGGGTGGGCAGCGGGGAATGGATGGGCTGCATGATGATTGACAACTAACACTTACTGAGCGCTTAGTAAGGGCCAACCTAGAAGACAGATGGTATTATCATCCTTGTTTTCACAGATGACAAAGAAAGTGACTATGCCAAGTGATCAAGGTTACACTGCTAGAAGGCAGCAGAGCAGAATCAAATCCAGGTCTGACCAGCTTCAAAGCCTACATTCTAACCACTTTGAGTTATTGCCTTCTGAGACTAGGTCTGTGTAGGCCTAGAAAACCGGGTCTATGTTCTGGTTCCAGGATTCAAACTATTTTACCTTTTCTGAGTGTCAGTTTCCCTTTGGTTAAGTGGCAGTACAAATACCAGTGCCAGACTGCGTACCCATCTTATGGCTTTGGTCCATCAAAATGCTTTCGATTTCCTTACGGACTTAGAGACCACTGTGAGAAAGTCCAGCATGCACTTACATGATCAAAGACACAGCTCATGACTGTTCAGTGAATGGTTAGGAGGGCCCTTTTCACCCCCATTTCCCTTTCTCTGTCCCATCAACCACCCTCTCACCCCCTCGCCCAACACACACACACACACACACACACACACACACACACACACACTCTCTCTCTCACACATTGGGAACACAAGGTAATTCACAGGTATTTTCTATGGAAAATGACTCAGAGAGAGAACATGAACTTTTCCTTCAGAACCTGGTCCTTATTTCAAAATTCTATCTTGGCTTCATAAGCCTTCAAGGAGCTCTGATCTTTTCTCCCTCTTAAGATACACAGGAGGACGACAGAAATTGTCTTGGCCTCTTCTCAAAGGTGGGATTGTATTAAGATTACAGATGAGTAAAATTTACCCATTTATAAAAGAATTCTGCAACTGGAAGTGACTTTCCCAGGAACCCCAGATGCAAGATGCCATGTCAGGCATCTACGAACCCATAGTCAAGTCTCTAGATATGTATTCTTTTTTGTCTAAAAACATTTCTTTTGTGTGATTCAAACTCCTGTGAATAAGAGTATGGAATAAATGCCTCTAACATCTGGGAGCACCTGAAAAGCAGCTCTCCCAAAATTTAGTAGAAAGACTCCTATAGTCCTCCTGTCCCCAACTCTTTATCCCTAAAGATAAAAACATAGGCTGTTTTTCTATGTTAAACAGAAATATAAAACATACATATATGCTTACATGTACACCTACGGCATGGGACTTACAGGGCAAGTCTGCGTAGTCCATCAGGAACTCTAGCCTTTCCGCTGCATCTCTAAGTTGCCTCCTGAGTTTGAACACAGTGACATCGCTGGATTTCTTTAAGAATCCAATGAGGAATACCAGTTCCTCAGTGTTGGCGGGAACCTCACTGACTTTGTCTGCGATGGTGCTGTACTGATTACAAATGCTACAGAGAAAGAAACAGCCATTACCATCATCAACATCATTGTCTACAATGGCTTTCTTGTAAGATGCATCATGTTAAACAGACATGATTCCTATTTGGAGACTAAAACAATGATTTCCAACTTTTCTCTACCTACAAATTCTTGATGGATGATATTTACATGTGCTGGGGCCAGCAAGTAGTGTGGTAGTTAAGAACGATGGACTCCCTTGGGAACCAGCAGTTAGTGTAATGGCTATGTCACTGGACTCCCACGTAGTCAACCGTGGTTCACGTCCCGGACCCGGTGGCTTAAAACTCATGCCAGGCGCGTGTGCCTGTGTGCCCAAGATCCTGAGAGGAGAATGGAGGAGAAGGGATTGCAGCGTGACCATCCCCCCTTGGGGGTGATTTCTCGCTTTCTGTCTCTATGTCTCTCTCTGTCTGTCTGGCGAGCGCACGCGCCCTATAGCGAAAAACCTTTCCCCCAAAAAAGAAAAACAAACAAAAAAAGAACGATGGACTCCCACATGGTTAACCTGGTTCGAATCCCAATCCCATACCTGGTGGCTTGCTTTCTCGCTTTCTCTCTCTCTCTCTTTCTCTTTCTGTCCCTCTCTGGTCAAATTAAAATAAATAAATGATGCTAGAAAAAAATAATCCTTAAAAATATTTTAAAAATATTTACATGTGCACCACATTCCAGGAATAAAAGTAATCATTATAATAATATCTGACATAGATTAAGTCCTCCCAAGGTGTCATTCAGCAGTCTAGTCATTTTATATATGTAGTTACTCATTCATTCTTCAAAACAACTAATGCACCATGTTGTTTTGATTTGACAGGAACAGATAAACTATTACTTAAGAAAAAAAAATTGATGGCTCAAATTTTCCAAAGAAAGCATCTTAGCAGTGTGAAGGAAACATTTAGTGCCCTAGTCCCAAACCTTTATTCTAAAAGCAAAGAAACTCAACATCTGAGCGGCAAAGCTAGGGGTTACATAGCTAGTAAATGAAGGGTTTGGGATTCAAAACCAAGTCTTCTATCTCCAAAACCAGGAATCTGACTGCTCTGTCACCTACTGGAGTTAAGTAGTGGAGAGCATGGACTTGGAGGTCAAACTCAACTACTAGGCAGTCAGAAAAGTCATGACATATTTCTCTGTGTTTTTCTATGCAAAAGTGTGAAATGACCTTCTTAATGACCCAGCAGGATAAGCCTTGGATGTGCCTCCTATTACCCTGTTGGAGTCTCAGTTTCTTTATCCACGCAATGAGAGGAGTAAGGTTGTCAGAAGGACTTGAATAGAGCTATACTATGCAGGATGCTTACATGGTGCTTGGGCTATATGTATAATATGTGCTGAGAAATGAGAGCTATTGTTATTGTTAATTTGCTGATGGGATTCTGATATGTATTTTGTAAACCTTAAAATACTAAAATTATATATATATATATACACACACACACATACATATATATATATATATATAATATATATGAATAGTTTACTATGTAACATATAATAATGACAATCATTACTACTAACTCATCTTAGTCGATGGTTTAAAATATTGTGAGAGGGACTCAGCAGGTGGCATGGTAGTTTAGATGCTGGACTCCTACATGGTCAACCATGGTTTGGCTCTCAGACCTAGTGACTTGAAAATCATGCCAGACACGATTGTGTTCATGCCCAAAATCCCAGGAGGAGAATGGAGAAGGGACTGCAGTGTGGCCATCCCCTCCAGGGGATGATTTCTCACTTTCCCTCTCTCTGTCTGTCTCTCTAGTGAGCACATATACCCTATGGCAAAAAACCTTAAACAAGTAAAAAATAAAGTACTCTGAGAAAGGCAGCTAGAATAACATGAAACAATCAGTTTGCAACATTCAAATAGAGACATGAATATCCCTTATTTGAAATGCCTGGGACCAGAGATGTTTCTGGTTCTTTTTTTTCAGATTTTGAAATATTTGTTTTTTCTTTTCTTTTTTCTTTTTTTTTTTTTTTTGAGAGGTTTTTGCCACAGGATGCATGCGCTCGTCAGACAGAGAGAGACAGAGAGATAGAAAGCATTCACCCCCCAGCGGGGATGGCCATGCCACAATCCCTTCTCCTCCATTCTCCTCTTGGAATCTTGGGCATGCATGCACATGCGCCTGGCATGTTTTAAGCCACCGGGTCCGGGATGCAAACCGCGGCTGACTACATGGGAGTCCAGCGACATAGCCATTACGCTAACTGCTGGTCCCAGATTTTGAAATATTTGCACATACATAATGAGATATATTGATGATAGGACCTAAATCTAAAACATAAAATTTATTTACGTTCTAGGACCAGCAGACAGTGTAATGGTTATGTTGCTGGATCTCACATAGTCAATCGCAGTTCAATTCCTGGACCCGGTGGCTTAAAACTCATGCCAGGTGCATGTGCATGCATGCTCAAAATCCTGAGAGGAGAATGGAGGAGAAGGGATTGTGGCATAGCCATCCTCCTCTATGTGGTCATTTCTTGTTTTCTGTCTCTCTGGTGAGCGCATATGCCCTATAGCAAAAATCTCTCTCTAAAACAAATTGTTCATGTTTCATAAACAAATTAGACATAGCCTGAAAGTAATTTTATACGATATGTTTATATCACAACATTTTCACCCATCATATAAGGACAGATGTAGAACTTTCCACTTGTGGTGCCATCTTGGTGCTCAAAAAATTTCAGATTTGGAGCATCTTGGATTTCAGATTTTTCAATTAAAGAGGCTCCACCTGCAGCAGACAGCTGCTGTCGAGGCCTCTCAGCACCTAATTTTCTCTTCTGGTAACATTTTAAGACTTCTTTGGAAACACCTCTTCCTCTCTCAATTTACATGGTTTAGGTACGGCTGACATGCGCCCCAGGGATAAGAACACCAGCCAGGCCTAAACCATCAGTATTTGATCCAATATTGCAAAGATCCAAGTCAGGTTAATGTTACCTGGGCCAGGACTTTTGTGAGTCTGTTCGAAAAAGAGAAACTTTTTCTGCCTGTGGATGGGAACCTGGGATGATTAAGTCTGAAAGCCTGTAAGAGAATGGAGCCAGCCTAAAGTAAAGCCAAGCAGAGAGAGGGAGACTGCATTCTAACTGCAGCATCGAGGGCCTGAAATAGAAACCCCCAAACTTTTCAACATGTGAGCTCCCAATTCTCCTTTTTATCTGAGCTCATCTGTATAGGCTTCTGTCCCTCCCAATCAAAAATGCCTTAACTAACAGAGATAGCTATCAGTAAAAGGAAGGTACAATATAGCATTTAAGATTAAACAGGGGCCAGCAGGAAGCAACTTGCATTCCTGAAGTTCCCTGCAGGGAGGCAAAGGCTGCAGGATCAGAGACAAACTGCGGAAGGATGTTCACCATGTAACATAATAGCAATGGCAGTCACAATTACTAACTTGTCTCAGTGGTAATCCACCCTCCTCCTCCCATTCCCATGGAGTTTTCTCTTTTATTTTTTAAAATATTTATTTTATTTATCATATTATTACTTTTTTTTTAAGTTTGCTACAGAGCACGTGTGCTCACCAGAGAGAAGGTGAGAAAGCAAGCCACCAGGTCCAGGACTCAAACCAAAGTCGGCCATGTGGGAGTCCAGCGCCTTAACCACTATCTGCTGGCCCCTGTACTTTTCTCTTGACTGTCCAGTTTCTAGCCTGAAGCTGAATTTCCTGTCACTCTCACTTTGGGGCAAGAAGAAACCTTAAAGCTGAGTCTGGTCATTGCTAGAAGGTATAGGTTTTGGTCACTTTTCCATTATGCAATTGGTGCTATTTTTCTGCAGACAGTTCTGATACCTGGTATTTGTTTCCCGGTTTACATCCACTTGGAAATGAATCAGGCGGTCTTTCAGATTTTGGGCTCGCTCACAGAGATCATAGTTCAGGAACATGGTGTCCAGGCAGAACATAGCTAAAGGCACAGTAATGGGCATGGATGCAATTTCGTTCCTCCGTTTTTTAATGCTATTGATTCTCTGTAGAAAGGAGCACATCCAGGAGCTTATTTTGTCTTTGAGCAACTATCCATTTATCCCCAACCCTACCCCAGGTCATCCCGAGGCCAGTGTTGAGTGCACTAATGAAACATGTTGACTATTTATTGGGTTGTCTGCAGCATGTGTCACCAAGGTACGAATGTCAAGTGGCATCTCCTACCGTCACGAAATCATCAATTTCATGATTTTCTTTCAGGAATGCAGTGATGTTTTGCTCTGCTGTGTTATCCAATAAGTCATCATACTTTTTGTATACATTTAAGTATCTTCCATATCGAAGAACATAATTCAAATATAGGTCATCAAATCAGATGAGTCAGAGTGGCAAATGAAGCGATAATAGCAAAAATAGAAAAAAAAATTAGCCCAAACCAGGGAAGAAAAGTATAACATGGCAATAGGTACATGGAACTGGGAATTCAGAATTTTGGCTTCAAATTCTAATTGAACCATTTCTTGGCTGCATGAACTTAGACCAGATGTTTCTTTGTTTCAAAGATCAGTGTCTTCAATTTTAAGTGGAAGTCTAACTAATTAACATATCAGAGGATTATCATAGCTTAACAGTAATAAACTATACATAAAGCAATTAATACTATGCCTAACATACTGCGAATATGCAGTAAAAGTAGGTTTCTATCCCTCCTTGCAACTTCAAAATTCTATGACTAAATTTTAGAATGAAAATATGGAACTAATGAACCTTCAATCTATTAGCCAACCTTAAGTAACTCTGTATGTTATCAGATCATGCAAAAATGGCTAACCAGGTTTCCTTGAAACTTGGGGGTATGTTTAGGATGACCTGACTTCAAATAAGTTTGAATCAAAATAAAGATGAGTTAAGTAGAATTAAGACCATGAGGCCCAGTGGTACAATTCCAAGAGCTGGTACTGAAACTGAGACGCAAAGAGAAGCCCTTTCATTCTGGAAAGAAAACATGTATGTGTAAGACTCCATGAACAGGGAAAAGAGTATTTTCAAATAGAAACCTCAAATCGAATTCACAAGGGCAGAGCTTCCAAATGTGAAACCATGATTGTCTAACTAGGTTAGTAGTAGTTCTCCACTGGGGGCAATTTTCCCTTCAGGGGACATTTGAGCACATATGGAGACATTTCAGTTGTTAAAACTGGAGAGCTCCAGACTGGCATCCAGTGGGTAGAGGTCAGGGATGGTGCTGAACATCCTACCCACAAAACAGAATTTTCTGGTTGAAAATGTCAGTAGAAGCATATTCAGGACTGGGTTAGGGAGACCCTATGTCTTGGTTTGCTTGGGACAGTCCAGGTTTACCCTTGTTGTCCCATGGTAATTGTAAATAACACCCATTTCCATTCTTTAAGTGTCTCAGCTTAGAAACTTCATATGATCAACTGTGAGGTGTGTTACAGTGTGATGATTGAAGAGCATGGCCTATGGACTTAGATAACTTCATCTTTGATCCCTTTTCTTCAATTCCTTCATCCTAAAAACTTGCAAAACAGAACATCGTTTCAACATTCAGTTGTAGCAAAAGCTGGCCCAAACGGATGTGAGGCTACTTATGGCAGGAATCATAGGTTTCACTGCAGAAATACCAATATGTAGCCCCAAACCTCACAGAGGCTGTACTGTAATATATGATAAATGTTTTCTAAAACCCAGAAATTTCAAAATACCAAGGTCCCATGCCATTTAGATATGGAGGTGGACCTGTAATTGAATTTGAATCTTGGCTCTCCTGTTTACTTGCTGTGTAGTATTGAGAAAGTTACAGTTTTCTCATCTGTAAAATGGGGATAATAACCATATAATATCCATGTAAGTATTGGCTACTCTTATTATATATATGTGTGGGGCCAGGGACAGGAATTGCTTATTGGGTGATAATTTAGAACTCCAAACCCATTGGAGTTCAGACCTGGTAGCTTGAAAACAGGTTAAGTAATAAAATTATAACTAAGTCAACTTACTTGTAGGGGCCAACTTGATTTTTCTGAAATATCTCAAAAGTTTGATTTACAAAATCAGAAACAAGTTTTTCTTCAGGGTCAACAGTTCCAAGGATGAGGTTATATCCTTTCAATTCTGGGAATAGGATAGATTCCACCTGAAGAGTAGAAACCTCTTTTGAATGTTGCAAGAAGGGAAATGGCACCAAAATGCAGACTCTTTGGTAATAGATTCATTTTCAGAGGCACCAGCTGCGTTTTGACTCTATTCCCTGCTACATAGCGCTTAGAACCACCTGCTGTTCCTTCCGTCTATACCCTCTCTCCTCTCCTTCCTGTCTGAATTACTTTTCAATTTCTGCTCCTCTCAAGTATTATGTCCTTAGAGAGTCCCTGGGCAAGCAACCAGTGGTATGGTGGTTAAGGTGACTGGATCCTGTGTGGCTGACTGTGTGGATTTAGTCCCAGACCCAGCAACTTGAAAAACATACCAGGCATGTGTGTGTTCATGTCCAAAATCCTGAAAAGGGGAGAGATGGAGGAGAAGGGGCTGTGGAGTGACCATCTCCCATGGTGCGGGAGGGGGGGTTACTTTCTCACCCTCTACCCCATCTCTTCTCTTCTAAGTGCACATGCTCTCTGGCAAACAAACAAACAAACAAAAAATCCCTCAGGGGATATTGGGTTTTCCTGTTTAAAGCCTACCTATTGAACTTGTTCTTTTTGGCACTCACCACAATTATAATTAAAAGAATATTTAAAGAGCTGTTCTAGGTATGTCATGGAATATAAATACCATGAGGGTCTGTATTTGACATAGTTTTTGACTTAGCAAGGGCTCAGTAAATACTGTGTGAGGAAATGAATGCCAAAGTGGTGTTCCCCTCCTCTCAAAGTACCCAGGATAATGGATTGCCTCTTAGGAAGAAGTCATCAATCTGAAGAGAAAGAAATACTTCCTGTTGCCCTTTCAATGTGGCTGGTTCTCCCATGTCCTAGAAAGCAGTCTGTAGAGTTGGGTCAAGAACAAGCATAACTTTCCAGATAATTAATTGTGACCTTTTTTGCTTATCTTCTCGGCTCTCTGATTTCAGACTGGTTTTGTCATCATCCTCAATGTGCACACCCACACTTTTCTCCGACTTTGGCATTTCCTGGCACTGAGAGTGAGAAAATTCTCTCATCAAGAGAGAGACTGTCCTTAGCAGCCCTTTTCCATTGTGATATGGAGATTGTTCCTGATTATGAAGGTAACACATTCATATGGCTGCTAATGCTGATCAAAATTCTGCTTATTGCATTTTTAGTTTATAAAACCCTTCCCAGACCAACAGTTAGCATAATGGCTATATCATTGGACTCCCATGTATTCAACTGTGGTTCAAGTCCTGGATCCGGTGGCTTAAACTCATGCCAGGTACCCAGTGGTATGGTGGTTAAGGTGACTGGATCCTGTGTGGCTGACTGTGTGGATTTAGTCCCAGACCCAGCAACTTGAAAAACATACCAGGCATGTGTGTGTTCATGTCCAAAATCCTGAAAAGGGGAGAGATGGAGGAGAAGGGGCTGTGGAGTGACCATCTCCCATGGTGCGGGAGGGGGGGTTACTTTCTCACCCTCTACCCCATCTCTTCTCTTCTAAGTGCACATGCTCTCTGGCAAACAAACAAACAAACAAAAAATCCCTCAGGGGATATTGGGTTTTCCTGTTTAAAGCCTACCTATTGAACTTGTTCTTTTTGGCACTCACCACAATTATAATTAAAAGAATATTTAAAGAGCTGTTCTAGGTATGTCATGGAATATAAATACCATGAGGGTCTGTATTTGACATAGTTTTTGACTTAGCAAGGGCTCAGTAAATACTGTGTGAGGAAATGAATGCCAAAGTGGTGTTCCCCTCCTCTCAAAGTACCCAGGATAATGGATTGCCTCTTAGGAAGAAGTCATCAATCTGAAGAGAAAGAAATACTTCCTGTTGCCCTTTCAATGTGGCTGGTTCTCCCATGTCCTAGAAAGCAGTCTGTAGAGTTGGGTCAAGAACAAGCATAACTTTCCAGATAATTAATTGTGACCTTTTTTGCTTATCTTCTCGGCTCTCTGATTTCAGACTGGTTTTGTCATCATCCTCAATGTGCACACCCACACTTTTCTCCGACTTTGGCATTTCCTGGCACTGAGAGTGAGAAAATTCTCTCATCAAGAGAGAGACTGTCCTTAGCAGCCCTTTTCCATTGTGATATGGAGATTGTTCCTGATTATGAAGGTAACACATTCATATGGCTGCTAATGCTGATCAAAATTCTGCTTATTGCATTTTTAGTTTATAAAACCCTTCCCAGACCAACAGTTAGCATAATGGCTATATCATTGGACTCCCATGTATTCAACTGTGGTTCAAGTCCTGGATCCGGTGGCTTAAACTCATGCCAGGTACCTGTGTGTGCATGCCCAAGATCCCAAGAGGAGAATGAAGGAGAAGGGACTGCGGCATGGCCATCCCCCACCCCGGGGGGGGGTGATTTCTCACTTCCTGTCTCTCTGTCTCTCTCTGTCTTTCTGGCAAGCACAAGCACCCTATAGCAAAAACCTCTCAAAAAAAAAAAAAACCCTTTCCTATTTTATCCAACTTCATTTTTTTCTGCCTCCATCCACCTTATTTCATTTCAGTCAGTATTAGAGAATTCTTGTTTTGCTTTGTTGTATCACTAAGACAAATGAATTCTGATAATTACTTTGGTTTCCTTTAGTAACTCTTTTTCACAAATATTCATTCTTCACCTTGAATTCTATTTTCAAAATCCTATTCTATTGCTGATTTTCCTCCTAACTTTAAAAATTCATGTTTAACCATAAATAAGGCAGGACTGGCAAGGGCTAGAGGTACTGTCCACCTGCTGTTGTTCTTAGGTATTTTCCTGGAAAGTCAACCCAAGGGACCATTCTTCTGAATTTTCACTACCCTGTTCAGAGATAACACAGTTTGAGAGGCTTGGCAAGGGAGCCAATGTTGATGGCATCACTAGATGGAGAACCCAGGGCCTCTGCTATTTTTCCTCATGGCTTGATACAGTTATTGGTATTCATTTGCTCCTAGCTTTCAAACCTGGTACAAACTGGGATTTGTAAGCGTGTCTGTTTGGCATTTCAATGCACTGACTCTAGTACCAGCTCCAGCTGGGCTGTTTTCAGTAGCAGCTCCATGAGCCCTGGGCTCTTCCAGCCCAGCTGCTTGCAAATATTGCCAATCAACAGCAGTGAAAGAAAGCTTGAGTGGTATGTACTTTAACTGTCCCCAAGCCCCACATTAATCCCTCCAAATTACAGAGTCTTCTCTTTCATTTCCTTCCTAGGGATACTGGTTATAGGAGAGCTCTCCACTGCTTTTTCTATTTCCACAAACCCAGTTGTCATGTTAGCCAAGCGTGGTTGGGTTCAAAACTCCAAATGAGTGCTCTGGTGAAATCAACTGGAACATTTGGCTTCACATACTTCCCTGTAATCCCAACTCTCATCTTGAGCTCTTAGGCCCTCTAAGTACAGAATTGAAAGAGAAGAGTGCTCAGAGCATCCAAGCATGCATAATGTGTGGCAAGAGCTAGCAGGGAAGAGGATGAAGAACAGAGAAAAACAAAGAGAAAGAGAGAGAGAGAGGGAGAGAGGAAGAGGCACCCACCCACAAACAGATCTCATTCTCTGTATGAGACTGGACACTGACCCTCTTACCACACGAACCACCCAAAGGGAATTAGAAGAAGATGGAGCAGGACCAGCAAATGACCTAATGGTTACATTACTGGACTCCCACATATTTGACCGTGGTTCAAGTCCTGACACAGTGGCTTAAAACTCATGCCAGGGAAACCTGAAGTTGGCGTAATGGCAATGTCACTGGACTCCCACGTAGTCAACCACGGTTCGTGTCCCAGACCCGGTGGCTTAAAACTCACGTCGGGCACATGTGCGTGCGTGCCCAAGATCCCAAGAGGAGAATGGAGGAGAAGGGATTGCGGCGTGGCCATTCCCCCTGGGGGGTGATTTCTCGCTTTCTGTCTCTATGTCTCTGTCTGTCTGGTGAGTGCATGCGCCCTGTAGCGAAAACCTCTCAAAAACAAAACAAACAAAAAAAACCCCTCATGCCAGGAGCATATGCATTTGTGCCTAAAACCCTGAGAAGAAAACAGAGAAGGGATTGTGACATGGCCATCCTCCCTGGGGAGGAGGGGTGATTTCTCACTTTCTGTCTCCCTGTCTCTCTCTCTTTTCAGTGAGCGTATGCACCCTATAGCAAAAATCTCTCTCTAAAAAAAGAGAAGAAGATGGAGCAAAAAAGAATCACATCCACATAGAAAATCCTGTCTAGTCATAGAAGTTTGCTAATAAGTGTCTGGAATTCGATTAGTAACTCTGCTCTGGAAAAGAAACTAGAAAGAGATTGGAAAAAGAAGGGAAAAGTTATTCTCTCCTCTAGAAACACAGAGTGATAACAAACAAAGAAACAAATAAATGGAACTTCAAAATTAAATTAGATACAGATTTATAAAAATTCTCAGAAAGTTTATGGTAATTGACCCATAATGACTATTAATCCAAGTTAATGGATATGCCATGGGACATATCTGCTCCTGTGAGGCTGGCATTGTGGAGAGCACTTTCTCACAAAGTAACTCTTCACATCCCTGTTAGAAGAATAAATATGGACTGCAAGGACATTTCTTTATATCCAAATCAGCTTTCTGAGGTTAACAAGTATACTCAGAATATATCCCGAAAGTGAAACTCCTCTAACTGAATATCACATTGACTGTGTCTTATATAAACAATCATTTTAAATACATTTTATTCAATATGTGAATAAAAATACAAATGAATGATTAAGTGAATACTATACCTTGGGGATCCCTTCAGAGTTCTTAATAATTTCCAATAAAGAGTTGTGTACTAATTCCCAGCAGTTATCAAAAGATGGATTAAAGACAATTATGGGTTCATCGACTTTAACTTTGATCATGATTAGCTGAGGTATAAAGAATTTCATCTCTTGGTAGGGTTCCTCAAAATCATTCCCATCCTGTGGAATACATAAGTTATGACAATCATCATAAAACTGGGGTATCCAAAATTGAAGAGGCAAGCCTTATGCATTTATAGTGTTATGTGAACACCAGAAAAGGAAATGAAAGGCACTACATGTTGTTCATGTTTAAAACATGGGCTGGGGATAGCCTAGCCCATCCTGAATTTATGATTTCTCCCTTTCCCAAAGCCGCCTTCATTCAGTATCATTTACTTTACATGGTAATTCTTGCATCCTGATTTCTGAATCCTTCCCATATTCCAAAGTTCCACTCAGTAATCTCTTCCTCTCAGAAACCTCCTTGGGCCTCAGTTAAAAATCACCTCCTCCATTTCTGAACTTCCATATTTCCACTTCCCCAATGGCATTTTGTTTTTCTCTCCTGCAGATATTTATATGCATATCTTCTCTCCTCTAAACTTGAGGACAAGATCTATGTCTCATCCATCTATCTCCTCCAGAAATATCCACAATAGCATTTAGCATATAGTAGGCGCTCAATATAAATGGTTATCTGTATACTTCACATGGAGTTACTAATGAGCATATGTTCAAAATGTCAGACTTCTAACAACATAAATGTTGACTTGGAGATATTTCTGATTCCCTGCAATAGCTAGTAACACAAGATACTTTTCAAAAACTGCAATGCCTAGTGAGATTGTCATAGGGAATCTATAAAGTACTTCAGAGATTTCTAGATTCATTTAAAGGTGCTTAGTAAACATTTGTTGAACATCTTACTGTTTATCTAATACCTATAAAATTTTCCCTTTTTTTCAGAACATGAAGATTTTACTTTTCTCTTTGTGTGTAATTTTAGGGTGATATTGTTTTTCACATCTGGGTTTCTTCTGTTTTTAGCAAAGCAGAAGATTACAATGTCTATAGATTGGTCGTTTCTGTTTGTTTTTAGGGTACTAACATTATATGGCTAGGCTATAAGAGGAACCGAAGCAATTCCGTATATTAAATTCAATACCGTAGGTTAAAATACTATAGGTTGGCCTTTGGCATTCTTTCTTTGACATAAGTGTTGTTTCTTGCAGAAATTGATCATAGTTTTGCAGACCAGAGGCCATACTTGGAGATTACAATTCAAGAAGCAGATGGCTTAAGTAGGATAAAAACTTCTACCCTGATGATTAGAACAGGCCAATCCAGCCACAGCTGAAAGCCATCCTGATGTCAACAAGTTTCCTCCATGGGATGGATCAAGGAGAAGTTAAACAGTTGTGCTAAGCAAAATAGCATGTAACCCCCTTGACCCCCCCTATCTTTCTTTTTAAATCCCTCTTAGTTAGTACATCAGAAACAAAATTTGAACATTAGTTTGCCATCTTCCAAGGTCACTGGTTTCCTGAATAAAACTACTTTTCCTTGCCATCACTTGTCTCTCAAGCATTGACTTTCAAGCAGCCAGTGGCTGAACTTGTGTTCAGTCATGGGACTGGACCACAGTCATTCTGGTAACAATCGCAGTCAAAAGTTAGCAGTGTTGGTGGTGTAGTGGTGGTTAAGACACTGGACTCTCACATGGCTGACCACGGTTTGAGTCTCGGACTTGAAGGCTTGAAACTCATGCTGGACATGTGTGCATGCGTGCCCAAGATCCCAAGAGGAGAATGGAGGAGAAGGGATTCCAGCATGACTATTCCCCCTGGGAGGTAATTTCTTACTTTCTCTGTCTCTCCAGGGAGCACACACCCTATAGCAAAAAAAAAAAAAAAATCTCACCCCCAAAACAAACAAACAAAACACATATATAGCAATGTTTCATTCTGTATTTTTTGAGCAAATAATTATAAATGTTTATTACTTTTTTCTTTTAGAGAGAGATTTTTGTTATAGGGTGCATGTGCTCACCAAAGAGACAGAAAGCAAGAAATCATCTCCCAGGGAAGATGGTCATGTGGCAAACCCAAGAGGAGTCTTGGGATTTTGGACATGCACACACACACACCCAGTGTGAGTTTTAAGCCACTGGGTCTGGGACTCAAACTGTGGTCAACTAGGTGGGAGTCCAGCGATGTAACCATTACACCATCTGCTGCTCCCAAATTTTATTACTTTTTTTAAGGCAAAATATTCACATAGTATAAAATTCAAAAGAATCTTCCTTGATCCCTAGGATACTTAGATTTAGGGATGCTATGACTTTGAAAACTATGACTTAGTGATGTTAAGTTGTTATTTCAACTTGATTATAGCAGTTTCATGAAGAAAGTTATCAATTAGGTCAACCAAGCCTTTTGTCTTTGAAAGAGATGTCTTTCAAAAGTAAATATCTGGGGACTAGCAGTTGGCGTAATGGCTATGTCGCTGGACTACCATGTAGTCGACCGCAGTTCGAGTCCTGGACCTGGTGGCTTAAACTCACGCTGGGCGTGTGTGCGTGCGTGCCCAGGACAAGAGGAGAATGGAGGAGAAGGGATTGTGGCATGGCCATCCCCCCGGGGGGTTGATTTCTCGCTTTCTGTTTCTCTGTCTCTCTCTGTCTGTCTGGCGAGCGCATGCGCCCTATAGCAAAAACCTCTCCAAAAAAAAAAAAAAGGTAAATATCTGCAATGAATACACAGGACACTCCCTAAATATCAAAACAAAGATTGATAACAAACCTTTTTCAACCCCTTTCCTGTAACAGGATAAAAAAGTGACCCCTCACCACCCCCAAACTGTAAAACACATGTATTTTACTTTATGCAACTAAATTTTTTTTCTTAACTTCTTTATTCTATAGATTTTTATCAATTTAATAATGAAAATTATCTCAAGATGCATTGCTATATACTTACAGGAATCCTTTATATAAACAAATAATCACCTGATGTGTGTGCAAGTCAAGAATTTTACTTTTTGACTTGGTTCAGAGCTGAGGATATACATGATGAAATCCTCGTTCTAATTAGATTGATTCCCTTCAAAAGGTAGGCTACAGGTCCCATACATACCTTGTGAATCATGAAAAAAGATACAAGGTCTTCAATGGACTTAATGACCAACTCTCTGAGCTGGAGTGACATGAATGATGCAACAGAAGCAAAATATTCCTCAATGTTTCGGGAAGAGTCGTAGTCACTCTTGGGAGCGAAATGGACCCACTTTTCCTTCTGTGAGACAAAAAGCTGGGCGCAGGTGGGAATCCACCTGGAAAGACACAAGGCATTGTGTAAGCTTCTTTGAGCTCCAAGAAGTCCTCTCAGTCTTCCTTCTGCTCTGTAACAAGACACATGGACTCATCCCCCCACTAAGCCACCTTGCAGATCAGTACTTTCACATTCCTGGCCACCTTGCCTGCCAATATCTTTTTCATGGGAAAAAACTGGTAAGATTTGAATTGAGCAAGTGATCATCCATTGGGAATACCCAATCAGACAGGGGATATTGGGCATGTCCAGAGAGAAGAGTTCATAGTTTCTTCATCATACCAGAGATTGGGAGGAAGGGTCATCACAAACTGGAATGTTCTGTCCAGCTTCTCTCCCTGGCAGGTTCTGAGTCTCTGATTCAGAATGTACAGGGGGGAAGAGAGAAAGGAGAAAAGGAAAAAAAAAAACTTAAAAGGAAAAAAAAAACCTTCTGAGCAGGGTCTGCTCAGAAGCTGAGAGTTGCTATTAGACAAAAGAAGCGCTGTCTGAGGATGGGAACAGGGAAGGAAGAAGACAGAGAAGGATGTCAACGTCATTGAAAGGAGGTCAACACACTTTGTGCAACTCCTAGGCTGGAAGCTAGTCTCCGTCTGAGAGTTTTCAGTCTTTACAATACCGGGATGCAGATACTGACTTGTTGAGTAGAATCTGGCGTGCCTCCAGGCAGTGTTTCCGGATCACATCCCGATACTCGTGAGGCTGCAAAGGCAATTTTCCTGCCAGTAATTCTGCTGTTCGAACAAACCTGAGGTCTTTAAATCTGCCAAAAGAGAGGAATAAAATTTCTAAGATACAAGATTCTCTAGATAACACTAAATATATTTAAGATAAAAACAAGGCTCCCTTAAGACTGAACATGGTCAAAGCTAGAGATCTTCCCTGAACAAAACACATATATGATGAGCTACTGACAAATGCAGACAATCAAAATTAAACAAACATATCTGCCTCTAATTTTTCTAGTAAGGAATCCAGATGGTGGTAGCCCATCATTTCATTAACCTTATTTTTCAGTGAACTCTGGCATCTTCACTATCCCATCAGGATTAATATCCTTCTTGAGGGGCTCATTAAAGAAATTAAAAAAAAAAAAAACAGTCCTTCTCCCACCCCCAGTGAAACTGCTGGATAAACTGGTGGATTAACAAAAGGCAGTATGGCAATACAATGGAATATTACAATTATAATTGGGCCACAAAAAAGAAAGCAGTACTGATCCATGTTTCAACATAGATGAAGCTTAAAAACATTGTTTAGTGAATGACTAAAGGCCAAACACAAAAGGCCATGTATTACCTGATTCTATTTATGTAAAATGTCCAGAGTAGGCAAATCGATAGAAATAGAAAGTAGATTAGTGATTTTTCAGGGGCTGAGAGGAAGGAGGAATGGGGAGTGACGTCTTTCTGGGGTGATAAAAATATTCTTTTTTTTTTTTTGGAGAGATTTTTGTTACACAGCATGTGTGCTCACCAGGGAGACGGAGACAGAGAAAGTCAGAAATCAGCCCCCCTACCACCTCTCGGAGGAATGGTCAGGCCAGAATCCCTTCTCTTCCATTCTCTTCTCAGGATCTTGGGCACACTTGCACACATGCCTAGTGTGAGTTTCAAACCTCTGGGTCTGGAACTCAAACTGCAATCGGCCATGTGGGAGTCCAACGACATAATCATTACACCATCTGCTTGTTCCAATAAAAATATTCTTGACTTAGACAGGGAGGAAAGTTATACACATTTGTGGAAGTACTAAAACTACTGAGTTACACATTTTAGAAGGGTGAATTTTATAGAACATAAATTAATCTCGATTGTTTACTAAAAATTTGTTACTAATATTTTTTATTGAAAAATCATAATTGTATACATTTATGGAGCACAATGTGATGTATTGATATAGGTACTGAATGTGGCATGATTAAACCTAGATGGCTAATATAGCCATCTCCTAGCTTACAAATTTTTTTTTTGGAGCGGTTTTTGCTATAGGGCATGTCGCTCGCCAGAAAGACAGAGACAGACAGAGAGACAGAAAGCGAGAAATCACCCCCCATGGAGGGTGGCCACGCCACAATCCCTTCTCCTCCATTCTTCTCTCGGGATTTTTGGCACACACGCCCAGGGTAAGTTTAAGCCACTGGGTCCGGGACTTGAACCATGGCCGATTCATGGGAGTCCAGCGACATAGCCATTACACCAACTGCTGGTCCCATAGATTACCATTTTTTATGGTGAGATATTTGAAAAAGCAAGCGAGAAATCACCCCCCAGGGGGGATGGTCACGCCGCAATCCCTTCTCCTCCATTCTCCTTTCGGGATCTTGGGCACACTTGCACACATGCCTAGTGTGAGTTTCAAACCTCTGGGTCTGGAACTCAAACTGCAATCGGCCATGTGGGAGTCCAACGACATAATCATTACACCATCTGCTTGTTCCAATAAAAATATTCTTGACTTAGACAGGGAGGAAAGTTATACACATTTGTGGAAGTACTAAAACTACTGAGTTACACATTTTAGAAGGGTGAATTTTATAGAACATAAATTAATCTCGATTGTTTACTAAAAATTTGTTACTAATATTTTTTATTGAAAAATCATAATTGTATACATTTATGGAGCACAATGTGATGTATTGATATAGGTACTGAATGTGGCATGATTAAACCTAGATGGCTAATATAGCCATCTCCTAGCTTACAAATTTTTTTTTTGGAGCGGTTTTTGCTATAGGGCATGTCGCTCGCCAGAAAGACAGAGACAGACAGAGAGACAGAAAGCGAGAAATCACCCCCCATGGAGGGTGGCCACGCCACAATCCCTTCTCCTCCATTCTTCTCTCGGGATTTTTGGCACACACGCCCAGGGTAAGTTTAAGCCACTGGGTCCGGGACTTGAACCATGGCCGATTCATGGGAGTCCAGCGACATAGCCATTACACCAACTGCTGGTCCCATAGATTACCATTTTTTATGGTGAGATATTTGAAATATACTTTCTCAGTTATTTTCAAATATATAATACATTGTTATTGATTAGAGCCACCCTGCTGTGCCATAGATCTCAAAATCCTTTTCTCTTATCTAAAAGTATATCTCAATCTTAAAAATGGAAGACAGGAAAAAAGTGACCGTCGTCTCCTCTGGATTCCTATAATTCCTGTGGCCAATTTGGTCACTGATAAATATAACAAGGAGACCTGTGCTTGCCAGGCCCACACTGGTACTGAGTTACATAAAGGAAGAAGGTTCAAGCCCCCATCATCTCACAGGCTAGGAAGGGACAAATGCATAAGCATATAATTATAATTTAGGATGTTAAGTGTTGTAGTGGAGGTAACGACAAATTAACAATGAATGGAACTTAGGTCAGGCAATGTTCGAAGTACTGTGAATATATTAAGTTATGGGTTTTTTCCTATCATCCTATGAAGTAGAAACTTTCTAAATTACTATCCCAAATTTAGAGATAAGCAAATCAAAGTACAAAGAGGTGATATTACCGGTGAGCAGCAGATTTGGATCTGCCTGGTTGCAACCAGTGTTCTCTTGACTCGTGTGCTCTAGGGAGCATCAGGTGCCCTGGGAGCAAGGAGGGCCTTTTGAGCATGCATAAAGCATTGCCACGCACAGTACACATGCTCTTCTGGTCTAGGATTTGTTCATTTCATTTCACTACAAGGCCAGGACTACTCTGATTGTGCTCAGCACAGTAGGCTCACTTATGTGTGGGAAGCAATAAAGAAAGGGAACAGAGGGGCTAGCAGATGGTGCAGTGGTTAAAGTGCTGGACTGCCATATGGCTGACCATGGTTTGAGTCCTAGACTTGGTGGTTTGCTCTCTCACTTTCTCTCACTATCTCTCTTTCTCTCTGTCCTCTCTGGTCAAATCTAAAATAAATAAATAAATAAATAAAATTAAACAATAGAGAATGTTAAAAAAAATAAATAAATAAAAGGGAAGAACAGAAAGGGAAGGGAGGCCCTTCTTACTCTGCAAACCACAGTTCTTTCAGGCTGAGCATCATGGGGTTCACTGTGTGCAGGTGATCCTCGTTCCACTTCTTGGCACTCCTGTAGACACTGTGCCAGGGCACAGGTGCGCGGATCACTCTTTGAGGAAAAGTGCGAGGGATGCTCTCGATGAAGAGCCTTTTTCTCTCCATTGGGTCCATGAGGATGTAATCAACTATAACCAAGAGGGAAAACACCTTGAATAAGCAGGGACTTTGCACACCCTTAGGTTCATCACTGAGCCTCTGTCCACTTATACTAAAAAAGCCTCCCTCATTTACAAGGATGTGAGGTCACCTGGGTATAATGACCCCGGGGCAGCTCCACTCTATTGGTGTGTGTTTTATTTCATTATTTCATTTCATGGTTTAATGAGTGTTCGTGGAACATGGGTTTGAGTCCTGACAGGATATCTAGTATCTTGCATAAGAATGAACTAATATTTGCTGATTCCTTATTAGTCATAAATTGATTTCTTACACCAAAATAGTTACATTAAAAATAATCAACACAATGGAGAATGCCCGATACTTATGAATGGACATTTAGATACTAAATATTTTACATATTAAGGACTATAAGATTATTTAAAACCTCATAGCAGAAATAACATTTGTGCTAGGCCATAAACAATGAGTAGGAGTTTGGGACCAGCAGTTAGCGTAATGGCTATGTTGCTGGACTCCCACGTAGTCGACCGCGGTTCGAGTCCCGGACCTGGTGGCTTAAACTCACATCGGGCGCGTGTGCGTGCGTGCCCAAGATCCCAAGAGGAGAATGGAGGAGAAGGGATTGCGGCATGGCCATCCCCTCTGGGGGGTGATTTCTCGCTTTCTATCTCTCTGTCTCTCTCTGTCTGCCTGGCGAGCACCCGCGCCCTATAGCGAAAATCTCTCAAAAAAAAAATAAATGAGGAGTGAGTCGCAGCTAGAATTGAAGAGCCTTACATGTTTACTTTTACTCTCAGGAATTCAGTTCCAGGGTATAGTAGATAGGGAACCATTATACTGACATCATAAATAGTTAGGAAAATAAAAATAACTAGACAGCATGGTAAAGAGCTGGGCCCAGTGGAATAGCAATGTGGGGAATTCATAGGAGCACTCCTTCCCTGCTGTGTTGCTCATGTTACTCACCAATCATTGAATATTTCCCAACGACCTACTGTGTTTGCAACACACTAGACTAGATATGGAGAAGAGTAAGGACCAACAATATCTCCCTCACCATCAAAGAGCTAACAGTCCAACAAAGGAGTCAAGAGTCATGAAAAATGAAGTGGCATGTCGACGTTAAACAGCACTAGAGATATAAAGGCACAAGGGAAGTTTCAAAGCAGGATGAGTTGGAAGTAGAGACAAGAAGTTCTATGAATGCAGAGGATGGGGTGACTACTGAGTGTCGTGGAAAGAAAAAAAAGTGCTGGAGAGACGAAGTAGGTCTTGAGCTAGAATTGTGTGTTGCCCAGGATTGTCGCATCTGAATGACCTGAGAAACATGCAGGATCTCGGGCTCCACCCCTGATGCAGATCTACTGAGTCAGAATCTGAATTTTTCACAGAATCTCAGCTTATGAGTATGCACGTTAAAATGTGAGCAGTGCTGGTGCTGACGTTAGTGATGGGGCAGGGGGCCACTAAAAGTTAAATAATGTTCTTGGCATTTTCAGTGGGACCAGGGTGGTGACTGATGAAGAGAAAAGCAAGAAAGTGCCCTCAATCTGGAGACCTCTGCCCCACTTATGCCCAGTCTTACCAATGCTTTTCATGAGGCTGCTGTAGTAGTCATTTTCCTTCTCTTCCACCAGGGCGGTCATTAGGGGTTCCAGGGAGGGACTTGCCAGCAGTGTGTTAGAAATCAGCTTTGAAATCCGGACCATCACCTCATTCTCCTCAGGGGCAATCATGTCTTTTCGGATTCCATTGGTCAGATAGTAGTAGTATCTCTTCCGTAAACAAACCACCATAAGAAAATTAAAGCAATTGAATAACCATGCCCACCTGTCTCCTCCATCCCCCTTGAGCTGCCAAAGAACCCTATTCACATAGCTCCCATCCTTACTCTGCACAACCATGCATTCCGGACCCATTGCATCATGGTCATTGCAATGAAATTAACATGAGGCATATTTTCCCCAGGATTCAACCAAAGCCACAGTGATTTCAGAGGAGAATGAGGAAATTCTTGTCCAATTCCACACAGATTGGAGTAGTGGAGTGAGTACAGAAATTGGGACACAGGAGCATATTTGGTGACCTTTAAGAAGATGGATAAGCAGGTGGCATAGTGGTTAAGGTGTGGACTCCCCATGGTCAACTGTGCTTGATCACATGGTTTTAGTCCCGAACCTGGCAGCTTGAAACTCATGCCAGATGTGTGTGCACGCATGCCCCAAATTGAGAGGAGAATGAAGGGATTGTGGCATGGTTATCACCCTTAGGAGGGTGCTTTCTTGCTTTCTATCTCTCTGTCTCTCTAGCGAACGCACATGCCCTACAGAAAAAAAATCTCTAAAAAATAAAAAAGAGGATGACAAGCACCTAAAATGGACTAAATAATTCCCAGGCTGAGCAACAATGATCTTTTATAAAGCACTTGATGGCTTGTAACTGTCAGTGAGAAAAATATCCTCAAAGTCTGAGTGAAAATTATAGCAGTTCTAATTCAACCACGGGCTTTTGAAAGCAACACAAACGTACAAACTGAACAATAAACAGCCAATGCAACCTGAAGACTTCAGTGAGTTTTATTTATTTAGGGTTTATCTTTAAGCTGCTGGTTGACTGAATGGCTCTGGGAATGAATAATTTCAGATGGATGAGAAACGCAAAGTATGGGAAAAGCAGTTGACACCAGCTTTAAGTTTTAATACTACAGTCTGTGGTCAGAAGAGGTATAACCTTGAGCAAGTCTTTGAGTCGACATTCCATTTTCCACATCTTTTTTTATTTTTTTAAATTTGGCCAGAGAGAGGTAAGGGGGTACGGGGAAAGTGAGAAAGCAAGCCCCGAGGTCCAGGACTTGAACCGTGGTCGGTCATGTGGGAGTTCAGCGTCTCAACCACCACTCCACCTCCATCCCCCCATTTTCTACATCTTGACAATGGGAATAATCATAGTACCCTGTTGGGGTTAAGCACTAAAGGGAATTTTACCATGGAATTTTACCAATAGCACACACTTAGTTACTATGAGTTTTATTAGTCATCATTTTATTTTATACTATAAACCCACAAACTATTTGCTCTAAAGTTTTATTGCTGTTCTTTTAATATTGAGATTGGAAACTCAAATGCCTGTTTGGACCTGGGTGGATAACGATCATAAGTGAAAGTTGGCTAGATGTAAAAACACAATTAGGGGGACCAGCAGTTAGCGTAATGGCTATGTCACTGAACTTCCACGTAGTCAACCGTGGTTTGAGTCCCGGACCCGGTGGCTTAAACTCATGCTGGGCGCGTGTACGTGTGTGCCCAAGATCCTGAGACGAGAATGGAGGAAAAGGGATTGTGGTGTGGCCATCCCCCCTGGGGGTGATTTCTCACTTTCTGTCTCTATCTTTCTGGCGAGTGCATGTGCCCTATAGCAAAAACCTCTTAAACACACACACACTCACACACACACACACACAATTAGGAATTGTGGGGACTATGAGAAACTGGAGAGTGTATTACTCACCCAAAGGAAGTATCTATTGCTGAGTTCCAAATATTTTCACTTTTTCAAGAGAAATTTAAAATATAGCTTATGTAAGATTTATTTTTATTTTCAAAATACATCTACAGGTCAAATTCAGCCTATGATTGGGTTGTCAGATAAAATACAGTACACATTGGGATATACTTATACTAAAAAAATTGGAACCAGCAGTTGTCGTAATGGCTATGTTGCTGGACTCCCATGTAGTCGACTGCAGTTCAAACCCCAGACCTGGTGGCTTAAACTCACACGGGGCGTGTGTGCATGCATGCCCAAAATCCTGAGAGGAGAATGGAGGAGAAGGGATTACAGCGTGGCCATCCCCTCTACGGAGTGATTTCTCATTTTCTGTCTCTCTGTCTCTCTCCGTCTTTCTGGCAAGCACATGCGCCCTATAGCAAAAACTTCTCAAAAAAAATTATTTTCCTGAAATTCAAATTTACTTGTGTGTCCCATTTTTTTATTTTGTAAAATCTAGCAACCTTTGCCTATGGGTCACCATCTTACAACTTACATTCTAAGAGGCCGCAAAGGCAGCAATTTCTAATACTTTTGAGAGCAGAGAACTCTCTCTCTCCTCCTCTCTCTCATATACACACACAAACACACAGACACCTTCATTCAGAAAAATGTCTGCCATAATGGCTTGGACTTTGATGTCTGAAAAAGATTCCCCAAGTGGTTCTGCTGTTCTTCTACAGTTAAGAGTCACTGAGATGCAGACAGTAACTCTTAGCAAACTGAGAGAAAGGTGGCTATGGGGACATACCTCCAGGTCTGATTGAGACGGTGTGCTTTCTCTACTTTCTATTTCCTTCTCCTGCTGTAACATCACATTCATTTGTTGTTCTGGACTCATTGGTCTACTTCCTGGGAAGACCGAAGATGTCTCTGTCTCCTTCTTTATGAGTAAAGAGACTGAGCTGTTGGCAGCAGACTTGATCCTGAAAAGTAGACACAGCTTAGTTCTCAGTGCTTGGTTCTCCACAGAGATTAGTGATGTGTGACTAGGCCTACAACCTCCAACATGGTAAATGAGGGTTCTGCATTCAAAGTCCCTCTCCTTGGTGTCACCTAGTGGCATGTAGGTGCAGCTCAGAGATAACCCTAGCCCACTAGGCACCTCTGGTTTGCTCATCTGGTAATATGCTTTTGTTTAGGGTCTACTTTTTTTTTTTAATTAAGGCAATTTGTGAGAAAGAATATGAGTCCCTGTGTATCTAGGAATGCTTTGAAGCCAAACAGCAGAATATAACTACAATGAGACCACAGCCTTCTTCAGTTCAGGTGAAAGGGGAACACTCCTACAGTGTCCTGCATTCTTTTGAGTCTATGGTGACACCTTACCTAGTGGGATCCTCTTTGTCTCTGGAGGACAACTTCATTTTCTTCTTGTTGGGCTCTGATGACATTTTAGTTGCTAGAGTGGAGGAGAAAGACATCAGTGATGGGCAGTGGCCTTGGGTCATTCTTTGTCCACAAGGACATGACGACTACCACATAGTAGTATGAGGTAGAAGAGGGTAGGGTCTGGTTCCAAGTTCATCACTAATTACCTCTGTGACATTAAAGAAGTGATTTCATCACTCCAGGTCTCAAAAATGGCGATAAGCATACCTTCCACTCACTCATATATGTGACAAGTTTTTTAAAAAGTTTATTTATTTATTCCATGTGAGAGAAAGAGACAGAAAGAAAGGTAGAGGTACTCTCTTTTGTGCCATGATCCCTCCCCAGTGTCAACCAACTAAGATCGTGGTCCAGTGTGTTCAGGGAGGTCCTGAGACATGAACCCAAGACCTTTTCCATGTGGATCCAGATGGATTGTCACAGCACCACCACCTGGCCCCTTGACAAGTGTTAATAACACCCTACTTGATTCATTCCTAGCACTGTATGCTCTATTTTCTCAACATCAGTTGTATTGCTTAATATTTCTCTTTAAATAGACTCAGGCTTTTAAATTTAATGCATTTATTTTTAAAAGAAGTGTTATGTAACGATCACAAATGGAAAGACCAGTATCATTTTCAAGTAAGCATAATAGTTACTGCAAACAGAAAAACCAATATCTTTTGTAATAAATAGAACTACAAATACATTCAATGAATGATCTAAAAATATTAAACTTTAGTTAGATACTTACTTGCAAAAATCTCTAGGCTGAGAAAGTGAATACATAATAAAGAAGTGTTAAAGATGTACTAGCAGTAAATAGACCCCTCAAAGGGGTCTATAGTAAATAGTAAATAGAAAATTTAAGATTGCCAGTTAAGATGTATTTTGAGTCATACTTTGAGCTCTACAGTATGTTCTACAACAATAATAAAATACTCTTATAAATTAAAAAGAAATTACTCTGGCCCACCTATGGTGATAAGTGTTGCGAAGACATTGTGCTTTGCATGATGGGACCACATGGGAGGCCCAGGTTCAATTCCCAGGCCAACCTAAAGGCTGAGCCCTGTAGTACATGCCTGTAATCTCAGCAACTTGGATCCTGAGGCAGGAGGATTGGGAGGTAGATCCTGGCCTGGGCAACATAGTGAGACCCTGTCTAAAAAAGTGCTGGATGAAATGGCATGGACCTATAGTCCTAGCTATGATGCTGAGACATGAGGATCATGACAAGGAGAGATCCTTTCTTTTTCTTTTTTCTTTCCTTCCTTCTTTTCTTTTCTTTTTCTTTTTCTTTCTTTTTTTTTTTTTTTTTTTTTTTGAGAGAGAGATTACTGATATAGGGCATGTGCACTCACTAGAGAGACAGAGAGAAAGTGAGAAATCACCACCCCCTCCCAGAGGGGATAGCCACACCACAATCCCTTCTTCTCCATTCTCCTCTTAGTATTTTGGGCATGCGAGCACATGCACTCGGCTTGATTTTCAAACTGCCGAGTCCGGGACTCAAACCATGGTACACCATGTGGGAGTCCAGTGCCACCTGCTGGCCCCAAGAGAGGTCCGCTGTGTTTTTCAGCAAGATGCTCTTTAATATGAGCTAGAAATAAACACATTGTGAAAAAAAGGTATGAAAGTCATAAACTCAGCTTCTGGGGACAGAAGCCGATAGAAGTAATTAAGAGTTCGATATCTGAGGAGTAATAGAATCCCAGAATACATTACGATGAACTGGAACTAGACGTACAGCATAAAACCAGGACCAAAGCAAGATTTCACTACCCAGGAAGACAGGCTGAAAAACAGCAGCTCCATCATGCAGATGCAGTGAATGAGTCCTCAATTCAGAGGGTGGCTAGAGATAGCACAAAAAGGTAAATGATCATGGGAACCAGTAGTTAGCATAATGGCTATGTTGCTGGACTCCCATGTAGTCGACCGCGGTTCACGTCCTGGACCCAGTGGCATAAAACTCACGCCGGGCGCGTGTGCGTGCGTGCCCAAGATCCCAAGAGGAGAATGGAGGAGAAGGGATTGCGGCATGACCATCCCCTCTGGGGGGTGATTTCTCGCTTTCTGTCTCTATGTCTCTCTCTGTCTGCCTGGCGAGCGCACGCGCCCTATAGCAAAAGCCTCTCAAAAAAAAAAAAAAACTTATAAAAAAAAAAGGTAAATGATCACTAGACTCAATCTCCCAGTGCCTGGGGGACCAGATCTATGAGGTCCCCAAATATTACCTTAGGATGGGGGCACCAAGCCAAACGTATAAGACTTAGGGGTAACTTTGAGTCCTAAGAGGCCAAATAAAGGTATAAGGGAAAAAAATAAAAAGCTAAATTAAGGGTGCATTCAAAGAAAGCACACATTGTATGGTTACATTTACATGTGAGAACAAGCAAAATTAATTTATGGTGAGAGAAATGAGTAAGTGGTTACTCTGGGGTGGGATGGTGTGGAGTGGGAGAAAAAACTGACTAGAGAGGAACACAGGGAACAAATGTCTTGTTTCTTGTTTGGGTGGTGGCTATTTGGTGTAAATTGTCAAAACCCTATAAATTGAATACTTATGATCTGTGCAGTTTATTGCATGTGAATTATACCTTAAAAAGTCGTGGGGAGGATACATACAGCAAGAAATAGAAAGATCCCTCACTATAACCTACAAGCTAAATCTCACATGAGAAAATCCAACACTAAGAGAGAGAGCCGATGGGAGCCATACAAGACAGTGGGTAAGCCCTGTGCATGCAAAGCCTACCATGGTGGCCATGAACCCCAACTCTGCCAGATCTCAAACAGCCTACCATGGTGGCCATGAGCCCCAGCTCTGTAAGATCTCAAACAGCCTACCACACTGGCCATGAACCCCAGCTCTGTCAGGTCTCAAACAGCCTACCATGGTGGCTATGAATCCCAGCCCTGGTAGCATGAAAAACACACCAGGTTTGTGTACATGCCCCAAATCCTGATGGGATAGAAAAATGGAGGCAAAAGGATTGTAGAGTGACCATGCCCCACTGGGAGGAAGATACTTTCGCTCTGGTGAGTACACACACTCTTCTGGCAGTAGAGAGAGAAGAAGAGCTAATAAACTCAACAGTTGAGGGATAGATCTACAAAATGAAAATAATACAGCAATACAAAATTGTTCCAAAATAAGTGCTTAAAATTGAGGACCAGCAGTTGGCATAATGGCTATATCGCTGGACTCACATGTAGTCAACTGCAGTTCGAGTCTTGGACCTGGTGGCTTACACTCATGTGTGTGCGTGCCCAAGATCCCAAGAGGAGAATGGAGGAGAAGGGATTGTGGCATGGCCAGCCCCTCTGGGGCAGGGGGTGGTGATTTCTCACTTTCTGTCTCTTTGTCTCTCTCTGTCTTTCTGGCAAGTTCACATGCCCAAAGGCAAAAATCTCTCCCCCACAAAAAACGTTTAAAATTCTTCAAAGACAAATGCACTGTAATGAATAACAAGCCAAAATTAGTTCAAGCAAGGACTTGAATTACAGACATCAATGCTCATTCTGAAGACACCATCTTAGCAGTTTCTGCCCAGAGACCTGGTTTGGCTTGAGAATTCATATGATGGTTAAATCATAGGAATTAAATCATCAGCACTTGTTCTTCACAGATATCAGTAGCTTGGGTAATACAAACTGGGAAAATGTAACCTTCAAACTAATTACTATTAATTACCATTTAAGAAAAGCATTGGGATCAGCAGATGATGTAATGTCGCTGGACTCCCACGCAGTCGACCGTGGTTTGAGTCCCAGACCCGATGGCTTAAAATTTACACCAGGCACATATGCATGCATGTCCAAAATCCTGAGAGAAAACTGGAGGAGAAGGGACTGTGGTGTGGGCATCTCCTTTGGGGGGTGATTTCTCACTTTCTATCTCTCTGTCTCTCCAGTGAACACAAGCACCCTATAGCAAAAACCTCTCTACAAATAAATAAATAAAAGTATTAAAAATTGGCTGCTGTAGATTGACTGTTTATGTCCCTCTGACATTTGGATGTTTAAACTTAATTCCCAATGTGATGGTATTGAGAAATGGGGACTTGAGGAGGTGGTTTGGTCATGAATGGGATCCATGCCCTTAGAAGAAACCCTCTCAGAGCTCCCTGTTCCCTCCTGACATGTGAGAACATAAGATGATGGCCATGTATAAACCAGAGAGAGAGCACTTCTTAGACACCAAATCTGCTGGCATCTTGATCTTGGACTCCCCAGTCTCCAACTTGGGAGAAATAAATTTCGTTGGTTTATAAATCATCCAGACTAGCACCCTAAACAGACTAAGATAATGACCCTGATATTAGCAATTAGAACATCAAACTTAAATTTGGGGTGTCATGATCTTGAACATCTAGGTATTTAGTGTTTTCTACATGTCTTTGAAACAGAAACATTCAAAGACTACATTCTAGAGACTATACATGTTATTTTATTTTCCTTCCTTCCTTCCTTTCTTCCTTCCTCCTCTTTCTTCCTCCCTCCCTCTTTCTTTCTTTCTTTCTTTCTTTCTTTCTTTCTTTCTTTCTTTCTTTCTTTCTTTCTTTCTTTCTTTCTTTCTTTCTTTCTTTCTATTTGTCCAGAGAGGAACAGAGAGAGAAGGAAAGTGAGGAAACAAGCCACCAGGGCTGGGACATTGAACTGTGGTCAGTCATGTGGGAGTCCAGCACCCCTAGTCACCATGCCACCTGCCGACTCCTACATGTGTATTTAATAAACAAATAACAACTGGTAAGAGCCACATGGGGAAAAAAAATCCTTCAAGTGATACTGAAAAGCTATGACCAGAAGAATATGTGAAGAAATTGGAGTAAACCTTACAAGTAGAGCCCATTAGGAAATGTGAAAAGGCAAAAATATTTTCATTGAAAGAAAAAACACCTATCAATCATGATAAACTCAAGAGTGAACTGAGTTGAGAAGAAAATTAGTAAACTGGAAGACACAATACCCAGACATAGCACAGAGAGAAAAATGAGTAGTATACAAATGAGTTTGAGACGGAGCAGATTGGGAGGCTTTAACATATGTCTAAGAAAAATTATTACGGGATATCCTGTAATACATGTACCTGATGGGAGTACATAAATTAATACGCACAAAGTACTGTGGTAAGCAGTTTCAAAGATGTCCCCCTCCTAAGACTTCCACTTCCTACTATCATGCCTTTATGTAATCCCTTCCACCTTGAGTGTGGGCTGAACCTAGTGACTCACTTCTAACATGGCGAAAGTGATAGGCTGTCACATCCAAAAAAGACTTTTTTTTTTTTTTTTTACTTACTAGCTATCTATGACTTGTCACCTCCCCTACTCACTCTACAGGAAGCTAGAGGCCTGCTGTGAGCTGTCCAAATGAGGCCCACATAGCAAGAAACTGATGTCTATAGTCAACAGCCAAGAAGGACTTGAGGACATGAGTGACCCTGCAAGGGGATCCTTCCCTAGTTGCCTTTAGTTGACCATGGCCCTGAATGACAACTTGATGGCATGCTTGTAAGAGATCCTGAGCCAGTTAAGCCATGCCCATAATTATGACTCACAGAAACTGTGAGATAAATAGTAGTTTGGGTTTTTCTTTTGGTTTTTTGTTTTGTTTTGTTTTGTTTTTGTTTTTGCTTTTTTTTTTTTTTTTTTTTTTTTTTTAGGATTTTGTCTTATAGTGTGTATGCTTGCTGGAGAGAGAGACAGACAGACAGAAACAGTGAGAGGGAAAATGAGAAAAAACCTCCCAAGGGGGATGGCCATGCTGCAATCCTTTCTCCTCCATTCTTCTCCTGGGATCTTGGGCATATATACACAAGTACCTGGCATGAGTTTCAAGCCATTGGGTCTGGGACTCAAACCACAGTTGGCCATGTGGGAGTCCAGTGACGTAACCACTATGCCATCTGCTGGTCCCAATAGTAGTTGTTTTAAGCCAAAAAATTGGGGGGCTAATTTTTTATGCAGCAATCAATAACACAAGTGCGTGGAACAGAGCTTGGTATAATAAATGGCCTGTAAATGTTAAGTTATAACCATTCCCATTTCACAGGTGAGAAGAGTGAAGTTCTACAAAGCTATCCAAAGTTGGGGCCAGGACTAGGATACGGAAGTAGAAGTTACATTCCAAAGTCCCTTCTCCACAGGTATGGCATACTCCACAAGTACCTGATAGTGGTGCGTGATTGGTCTTGTCCCTAGGGACATTGATGGTAACTGATTGGTAGACTTTCAGCATGTCTTTCAGCTTCAGGTCTTGGGCCATCAAGGAGTAATTGTTGGCAATGGAGTCACTGGGTCCACGGTGGTAGTGCTGCTCTTTGAAGGGGGCAGCCAGTGTCCATGATGTGCGTTGCATCAAGGGAGGATAAAAGCTGTGTGACATGACAGTCTGCAAGGGAAGAAATGCAAAGTGAGGCATGATGGGAGACATCACTTAGTGAGCCTGGGCTCAGCTCACATCAAGACTCACATAAGGTCAATATGCCTTACACTGTGTATCTACCTTATGCACACTCAGTGGAAATACTTTCTGAATGAACACTGATTGCACTTCTCTGACCACTGTGAACGTGGTTTCTGATGTCAAGGACAATAGCCGGCATTTGATAACAACTTTGTGAGTCAAGCCATTATATCTCTTTCCTGTATTCCTCTTACGTGGCTATAAGGTAAGTATAATTACCCTCATTTTATAATTGAAGATGCAGATGTTCAGAAAGTTTAAATGACAGCAGGTAAGTGGGAAGGCAAGATCCCAACTCATCTTCATACAACTGCTTAGTTCTTTCTCCCACATTGCTGTAGCTTCTTCTGGTGACAAAAATGAGCTGCTAATCCCACTTGCAAAGTTTCGCAGTTTGCCCTCCACTACTATCTGTTAAAGTTCTAAAGAGGCAGGGTGTATTATTCACCTTGTTACCCACAACAGAAGGGCCAGCAACCAGGTAAGCTCACCTGATACAGTTCAGATGGTTCCTCATTAGCAGAAGCAGGCAAAGGGGGCAGCTCTGGCCGCATCTGGGAGTGGCTCATGTGATGTATTGAATCACTTTTGGTGAGCTGTGGGGAATGGGATAAAAGTCATTTTATTTTTTTATTTTATTTTTTTAGATTTTTACCATAGGGTATTTTTTCTTGCTGGAGAGAGACAGAAACAGAGAGAGAGGGAAAGTGAGAAATCACCCCACAGGGGGAACAGCCACATTCCAATCCTTTCTCTATTCTCCTATCAGAAGTCTAGGCACACATGCACACATGCCCTGTGTGTTTTTCAAGCTGTCAGGTCCAGAACTTGAACCACAAAGTTCACTATGTGGGATCCGGCACTTTAACCACCACACTGCCTACTGCCCCAAAAGTCATTCATTAAAAATTAGGAAAGAGTTCTGAGCCTCCAATGTCAGTAAGAAATAAAGAGGTCCCTAAGAAAGGTTCTAGACAAGAGTTCTTTCTGCAAAACACCCTTCTCACCCCATCCATTCTATGTATCTTATTTTTTAAGCATTGATTTGCCTCTTCTCCAACAAGTCCTCCTCAGTTTCCCTTCTATGAGTAAATCTATTTTAATTACTGTGTCTCTCTCTCTACTCTTTTTTTTTTTGAGAGGTTTTTTGCTATAGGGCGCGTGCGCTCGCTAGACAGACAGAGACATAGAGACAGAAAGCGAGAAATCACCCCCCCCAGGGGGGATGGTCCCGCCGCAATCCCTTCTCCTCCATTCTCCTCTCGGGATCCTGGGCACGCACGCACATGCGCCCGGCGTGAGTTTTAAGCCACCGGGTCTGGGACGCGAACCGCGGTCGACTACGTGGAAGTCCAGCGACATAGCGATTACGCTAACTGCTGATTCCCTCTCTCTCTACTCTTGACCTCAATTTCAAGGACCCAGGAAATAGCCAATCATCTCCAAGAACTCTCTCCTCTACTATTGAAATTAATACCACACCTACAGTGAGGTGTGCCACAACATGGGGAAATCCCAGCATCAGCCAGAAAGGAAACTGGCCATCCAAAGCAAGTACTATACCATTCAGGGAAATTCTGCCAGCAGAACTTTCAGGGCTATGGAGTTATTCACGAGTTCTTTCATGATCTCAGACATAAGCCATATACCAATTGACAAGTTAGGACTGTCTTATAAGCAAAAAGGTTTGTGGTCAGTGGAATCTTTCCTTTGGCCTAGTTTTTATATCTGTTACAAGTAAGAAATTTTCATTTAGAGACCAGCAGATCGTGAAATGGTTATGTCACTGGACTCCAGAATAGTCATCCGTGGTTTGCATCCTGGACTGGCTGGCTTAAAGCTCAAGCCTGGCACATGTGTGTGTGTACCCAAAATCCCAAGAGGAGGATGGAAGAGAAGGGACTGCGGTGTGGCCATCCCTCAGGGGGGAGGGGGTGGTTATGATTTCTCATTTTCTGTCTGTCTCTCTCTGTTTCTCTGGCGAGTGCATATGCCCTATAGCAAAAATCTCTCTCTCTCTCAAAAAAAATCTTCATTAAAAGAGCAACAAGCAGCCACTAAACAGTTTGGACATCTTGAGTAAGTTACAAGAGTGGGAACAAGTAATTAGACCAAAAAACCCAGACCTTCAGAAGTCAAGGGAGATGTTAATATTATTCAGGGAATGTCTTGGGATTCATGTTTCTTCTGTCCAGTGTGAGATAAACCTGGTTTCAGCTCTAACACTAATTGGGAATTTTCTCTTCCAGTTCAAAGAAGTGTAATGTAGCCCTGCTGGACGTAACTGGCTCTACTCCAGTTTTAGTCCCTGTTGTACAGTGTGGCTGATCCCAGCCCAGATCCCAGGATAAGGCATTGGTCAGACACAGGTTTGACCAGTTACAATACTCCATCCTCCTAGACACAGTGACCAGTTCAGGGAGAAGCAAGTCACCCACGCTGGGGTGATTACAGTATTTTCTGACACTTTTACTAGAACTATTAAGAAAGACGCATTTGTCTCTTTGCTAGGGTCACTACCTGTGAGGATGTTGATGACTAGAGCTCCTCATTGCCATTTTTGCCTTAGATAGGGGAAATTCACATAGATGAAAGCAGAATCATCAGAAGGAGAGAGACTCTCAGTGACATCAACTGGACCTTGTATCCAGCTGGACTTCATTACTTGTTTCTATAGATTCTTTGGGTTTAAGCCAGACAAATATCTTTATGTCCCTCTATACTGAGAAAAGGTCATCCAAGAGACAGACACGGAGGCAGCTGAGTCAATGAGAGGACTCAGGTTAGAGACTACAGATACCACATCATGCAAACAGACAGATAAGCCATTCTTGGGATAATGTGTAAAGCAAACCGTGAGCATTTTGCAAAACACAATGGAAGGCAGCGGAATCTCTGCAGAAATAAATTGAACTTTGAGCTAGCTCCTGGGCACAGCCAGGTTTATACATACAGTCATAAATACTCTGACAGCAGAAAATATCTCAGTCCCTGAGACAGGGACATGTGGGACACAGATCAGTAGATTTAGAAATCAATTCCAGAACAGAACAAGAGTTTTCTTGACCACACGTGGCTAAGCATTGTCTAACAACTTCAAGGAGAGGATATGGAGATCCTTATAAGAACTACCTAGATTTACAAAATAATTGATTAAAAATATTAATACTTGAGGTCAGGTGGCGGCACAGTGATGATGCAACTAAACCCACAGGGAAAGCTTCTGAGTGTGGGCTCTGGGGCTTTTCTGAGCTCACTGGGCCAGCGTATGCCCATAATCTAAATCGGCTAAGATGAGGGGTGCGTGGCAGTGTGAGGACCCTGTTGGGAGTGACTTTCTCTTTCTGTCTCTGTCATGGAAGCAAGAGACTTTAAAAGCCTGTGCACGCATGTGTGTACACATGTATTATGTATCTGCTTAATTCTTCTTACTGATGAATTGCAGGGAGTTTTCATTTTAGGGCACAGGCTCAGTTATTATCAACAAATCCACCATAATTTTATACAGTTGAATTAAAAATGCTCCACTGGGCATGTCAATATATGGCAAATTAGCAGACTCTGGCTTTTATAGCCAAGACTCTGGTACCTAGATGAGTAGAACTGTTACTTTCAGACAACTCGTTTCTGATTACACATGATGTTTGTGTGTCCTTCATGAAGGACGCTTCCTAGTGCTCATAGGAGTTTATGTTACACCAGAATCATTTGGGTCCTAGTTTAAAACACAGATTTCGAAGCCCCACTTCTGGATCAGTCTTTGAGAGTAGGGACCAAGACTATGTTTTTAAACTGTTCCCCAGAATATTCTGATGGATAGTCAGAGTTGGGAACTATTGGTTAGAACACATGATCTAAGGACTTAGGAGGGAAAAAAGGAAAAATAGGTATCTATTCTTAACGATTTTAACAGTAAAATTTGAAGATGCCCCAATGTCTAATTCAACAAAAAGCATACTGCAAGACACACATCATAAAAATGTGATTAATATACTTGCTCAGTCAAGGGAATGTAACATGGCAACCCTCTTTATACACACTCACAAGTCCTTACATGTTGAAAGAAAACACAGGTAAAAGAAGAAACATGCTTTAAACTTCACACCAACCTTCTGAGATGAGCAATCCATGTACTCCATGGTGTCTACTCAAATTGTACCTATATTGAAAAAAACAAATAAAAAGCTCTCAGTTTCTCCACCGTCTCTCCTCTCCTATCCAATTGCTCTCAAATTCACACTTCCTAAGAGCATAATGGGGGTGACATCAACAATGGAACTTTCCAGATGTTCTGAAAGTTCTACTCACAAGCTTTCTCTCTGAGATCATTGACATCAGCCTCCTGGGGAGTTCCCTGGTGGAAGAGGAGAGAAAGGGAATCCAAATAATAAAAGGGAAGCATCCTGCTGGGCTTCTCTTGCAATGGCCACTCCTTTCCTTTGAGTAGCTTCTCTCAGAACTTTTCCAGTAACACACCAAGTTCACTGTAGAGGAAAAATCGAGGCAGAGTTATGTGTAATAAAGACAGGAAGGAAGAATCATTCCTCCAAACAATTCTTGGAAGCCTGCACTCTTCTCTCCCCTCCTCCCTAGCGGTTTTAACGTTGGTTGAGTTTATACCCAGTCTTCTGGGCCAGTAACCAGCCTTCAGCGTCTGTTGCTAAGGGAGGGAGGGGCCTCTGCTGTGCCCACATACAAGACTGGACTTGACCTAGCTCCATGTCCTGGTCTTTCCTTTTTCTGGAGGCCCAGCTGGGCAACAGGAAGCTTTGGTCACATAAGGGAAAGGAGGGTGTTTATCAATGTTCTAAGAATACAGAGGTGAATGGCAATTAGAGAGTGTGCCTGTGGAGAGGTCTAAAAGCACACAGCATAATGATTGAATTCTCAGGTTCTAGTGGTGGACAGGTCTGCTTTCAGATCCTGTTCTTCCCATGAATTCGCTATTTGGTTTCAACAAGTTACTTACTCTCTCCAAGTGTCGTGTGTGTGTGTGTGTGTGTGTGTGTGTGTGTGTATGTGTGTGTGTAAAATGGCAGTAATGTACATATCTATTTTGTTGGGTTGGTCTTAAGTTTAGACGAGATAATGCCTATAGAGCAATTCACACACACGGTAGAAGGATGATCAACTTGTCCAAGTTTGCCTGGGACTTCCTGGTTTTAACACAGCAAGTCCTGTGTTAGATTAAACTATTTTGGCCTAAAATGGCCACCATACTCCCACACTTGGATTCCTATGGATAAGCCAAAATTGTACATTAGGCTGTTTTCTTAAGCTAGTTGCTAAGTTAATAGCCAATCACACTAGCCACACTTCGGTCAATCACAGAAAGCCTACCTTTTGGGCTGTCTGTGCAGCCTACCGTCCACCTGTAACCAATCCACTTGTTTCTCTACTCCTTCACTTTAGTTTTTGTATGTCATTTTCCCTTTTCCAGAACTTAAATACTGAGTCAACCACAAGGCTAGCTGGAGTTGTTGGGAAGTCCAGGGACAACGGCCCAATTTAAATTGTTTTAAGATGTGCTCAATTAAAACTCTACTCTATTAAATTGGCTGGTTTATTTTTATTTGAATGCCAGGGAACCTTCCCTTTTCCAAACTGGGACAGATTGGCCACCCAACACAGTAGCCATCCTATAAATGTTGTGGCTGATACCACTATTATTTCAAACACAAGAACACATCCACACATACTCATACTCACATATACTTACGCACAAAAAACAATATTAGCCCGAATATTCAAAGCACATGTTAGTTAATGGTTGCTTTCAAAGTCTCCTCAAAACCAAGTTAATCTTACTGAGCTCTTTCTTGACTATCATGCTTGCATATCTGTTTTTTCATTCACATTTCTCCCCGAGCTCCACAATGTCCCCATTTTATGGGCAAAGAAACCAGGATACATAACTTTCCCAAGTAGGATTGACTCAAAAGGAGTACTGATACAATTTGAACCTTGCCTTGATAACTCCAAGGCTGGTACTTTCCCCATCAACTTGCTGTCCAGAACATTATCATTTCTGAGATCCTATGAAGAGCAACACATCACCAAGCGGTTCTGTTTCATTTTTTCCCCCTCACATCTTCCTCAAAGCTGGGTTCGTCATACTTTCATGATAATCCTGAGTTTCCTCACTTCTTATATTAGTACACTACACTACAAAGTGTATCTATAGTTCCAAGCAGCATTTGGGATAAATAAGCCAGCAGAAGGATTTGAAACTTTGGTTTAGACAGAAATAGATTAGGCCTCCTACACTGGGTGTAAAACCTTATGTCCCACAGAAATCAGCTGTTGTAATCCAACAAAGTGAAGAACTGAATGAGCCTGATGTGCTGCTAATGAAACCCCTGACCTAGTGTGTGTGAGAAGATATGCCTCCATCTGAAATTTAATGAGCTTTCAGTCTACCCATGTTTGAAAACATCAAAACAAGAGTTGCTTCCATTTACTGAGCATCTACTATATGGTAAGGATTGATGCTTAGCACTTAATATACATCATCTCTCTGAATCTTTTTAACAATTCAGAAGATAAAAATTATTATTATCCCAGGTTTTATGGTTGAGGAAGCTGAGACACTAAACTCACTCACTTGTAGTCACTCAACTAAGTCAACAGAAAGTTGGAATTTGACCCTGATAATGGAATCTGTCCCATGACTTTAACCAAAAATCTTCATACAGTTTGCAGGAAAATGAAAAATAAATAAAATGCCTGCCAAGGAGAATGAAAGCACATTTTCTAGGCCCCCGGACCTGCATCAGAGTTGTTTATTGTCTGACTTCACTTTCTGTTTCTTTTTCAAGAGAGGACAGGGCCTCAAGTTTCTTAAACCCCTGCATTCTAAGTGTATAAGGCTGCTATATAAAACACGGGCCAGCAGTTAGAGGAATGGCTATGTTGCTGGACTCCCATGTAGTTGACCGCGGTTCACGTCCCGGACCCGGTGGCTTAAAACTCACGCCAGGCACATGTGCGTGCGTGCCCAAGATCCCGAGAGGAGAATGAAGAAGGGATTGCAGCGTCGGCATCCCCCCTGGGGGGGTGATTTCTCACTTTCTCTTTCTCTGTCTATCTGGCGAGTGTATGCGCCCTATAGCAAAAACCTCTCAAAAAAAAAAAAAAAAGGTTGCTATATAAAACACAAAATGCAGTTAAATTCAAATTTCAGATAAGTTACTTATCAGGTAAAAATTGTTTCAGTATAAGTATGTCCTATTCAATATTTGAGAGGTACTTGTAATCAAAAGTTATTTATTGTTGGGAACCAGCAGTTAGCGTAATGGCTATGTTGCTGGACTCCCACATAGTCGACCGTGGTTCGCATCCCGGACCCGGTGGCTTTAAACTGATGCCAGGCGTGTGTGCATGTGTGTCCAAGATCCCGAGAGGAGAATGGAGGAAAAGGGATTGCGGCATGACCATCCCCCCTGGGGGGTGATTTCTCACTTTCTGTCTCTATGTCTCTCTCTGTCTGGTGAGCGCATGCACCCTATAGCAAAAACCTCTCAAAAAAAAAGTTATTTATTGTTTACCTGAAACTCAAATTTAACTGCATGTTCTATATGTTCATTTGCTAAATCCAGCAACATGGAAGATGTCAGCTAGGTTCCAGGTTGTCCCATCTCAGTGGAATTAATAGTTGAGCATCTCGATCTGTTGCTGAGAAATTTTCACATATTTCTTATGCAGAGTCCAGTGTTCCGGGAAGATCTTTTCTGAGGCCTGAAATAGTTGCTTACCCAGAACAAGTGTCTTAGTCCATTGGGGCTGCTATAACTAATGCCACAGCCTGAGTGGTTTATGAACATCAGGCATGCATTTCTCAAGGTTACGGAGCCAGAAAGTCTGAGATCAAGTACAGTGTGATCGGGTTCCAGTAAGGATTCTCTTCTAACTGTGACTTCTAAAAAATTGCGCCCTCACATAGAGGAACAAGAACAAAGACACTCTTTGGGGTCCCTTCTATTTATTTTTTCAAGTTTATTTACTAATTTCTTCCATGAGTGAGAGAGATAGACGGAGCAGCACTCCCAACAGGGTCTCCATGCCATGATCCACCCTCAGCATCAGCATGTACAAAGAAGCTTCAGGAGGTGAATCCAGGACCTTTCATGTGGGTCCAGCATTGCAGAGTATTATGTTACCACTGTGTCACCACTGTGTCATTGCCTGGCCCTGGAGCCCCTTTTGTAAGAGCATGCCTATGATTTAAATGTGTCCTCCAAATTCACAAAAATTGATGTACTAAGGATGGAAACAACCTGGTATTTTTTTAGTGTTAAGAGGTGGGTCCTTTAGGAAGTAACTAGGATTAGTTAGGGTTATCAGGGTGAGACCCCCATGATTGAATACTGGGACTTTATGAAGGAGATGTTCTTGCCCTCTCATCACTTGATGCCGTACACTGCCTCAGTAATCTTCAAGAGTCCCCACCAGCAAGAACACCCTCCACAGGTACCCCTTGCCTTTGGACATCCATATCTGTGGGTTGAAAACCTCTATTCTGTAAATTACCCCAGTTTCTGGTATTCAGTTATGGCAGAAAAATGAGCAAAAACAGGCACTAATCCCATTCATGAGGGCTCTACCTCATGACCTAAGAACCTCCCAGAGGCACACCTCCTAATACCATCACAACAGTGGTTAGGATTTCAACATATGAATTTGGGGGAGACAAACAATCTATGACAGCAAGTAACTGTGGGAACGCACAGGAGAGGCTGCACATACATTTATTTTATGGACCCATCAAAAGTTCATCAGGAAGCAGCTCCCAATATAATGGAGAGATGCTGGAATTCCAGCCATTGGGGAGCACACACTGTGGTGTTGGGGACAGACAACTTGCAAGGAAAAGAAAAACCTAACTGGCCCTACAAAAGTGCCAGATAGGAAGAATTAGAGGATTCACAAAGGCGTCCCTAGATGGCACCCTTAAACAGAAATCCTAGTAGAAGCCTCAGCTGATCTCTCCAAAGCAACATCGCAGGGAATGACAGTTACAGTACTTTAGTCAAATCAAAACAACAGCCCCCTCCCCAAACAAATACCTTTTCCCTGGGTGGGAACCTATCCTGTTCCAGTTGATCAAAGTTCACAAAGCCCGACAAGCTTGACTGAAACCTAAGAATTCAGTGACACTTGTCTGTTCATGTTATCCTATTTCCACCACTGGCTGCCCCTAACTCACTGTTGCGGAGGAGTTAAAGCAGGATCTCTCAATTTATTATTAAAGTCATGTGCTGCAAAACAGTGCTTCAGCCAACGGCAGGCCACATATACTACAACTAACCCATAAGGTTATAATGAAAAATGAAAAAATTCCTATTATCTAGTGACATTGTAGTGGTCTTAACATCCAGTAAAATACATTACACACATGTTTGTGGTGGTGCTGGTACAACTAAACCTACTAAGGGTGCTGGACTCCTCAATGGCCGACCATGGTTCAAATCCTGGACCTGGCGGCTTTCCTTCTCACTTTCTCTTTCTCTCCCTCTCTCTCTCTGGCTTTGTTCCTCTCTGGTCAAATTAAAATAAGTAAAGGAATAAATAAAGTTAACTAAAATAATTGTTTTGAAAAGAAAGAAAAAAAAAAACTAAACCTACTAGACTACCAGTCACATAAAAGTATAGCACATACAACTATGTACAGTATACGAAACTTGATAATAAACAGCCATGTTACTGGTTTATGTATTGGGTCCTCAGAAAAGTCATGACGTATTTTTCTATGTTTTTCGAGGCAAAAATGGGTCATGACTTTTCTGAGGACCCAATATTTACTATACTCTACGTTTATTATTATTATTTCGGAGCATATTCTTTCTACTTCTTAAAAAAGTTAACTGTAAAAGAGTATGCCATGTTATGCTGGCAGCACACTCAGATATATCCCTTGCTTACTGAGTCTCTTCATTGATCCACTTCCTCTGAGCTTGATTTAGTCTCATGTTGTTTTGTTCATCATGGCCCTTCCAGTGGAGGTGGTAGATTATGATATTCATACTGACCCTGAGTAGTCCTGAGCATAGGTGTATTTCTCTCTTACTTAAAAAAAAAAGTTGAGCTTCCTTTTCTGGCTGGAACCATGGAGGGTGTTCAATAGAAGAAAAAGTTGCTCCCTCCTGTGGCAGAAACAAAGAAAAAGGTTCCTGCTGTGCCAGAAACCCGTATGAAAAAGCAAAGGAATTTTGTGATGCTGAAGATACAGCACCTGAGAAAGAAGTCTGCTCCAAAGATGCTTCAAAAGGCAAGGAGGAAGCTAAGCGCTATCATAAGGAATATAGGCAGATGTACAGAACTGAAATTCACATGCCCAGGATGACATGCCCAGAACCCAAACTGGCGTTTGTCATTAGGATCACAGTTATCAATGGAGTGGGCCCAAATTTTAGAAAGGTGTTGCACCATATATTGCATGGGGGTACCCAAACCTGAAGTCAGTAAATGAACTGATCTACAACCATGGTTATGGCAAAATCAGTAAGAAGTGAATTGCTTTGATCCCTTCGTAAATTTGGCATGGAGGATCTGATTCATGAAATCTATACTGTTGGAAAACACTTCAAAGAAGCAAGTAACTTCCTGTGGCCCTTCAAATTATCTTCTCCATGTGGAGGAATGAAGAAAAAGACCACCCATTTTGTAGAAAGTGGAGATGCTGGCAATAGGGAAGACCCATTGTGGCGGGTCTGCCAACAGCAGACTTATTAGAAGGATAAACTAAGGTATCCACCATGCTTATTTTTGTAACCTGGTCAGTAAATAACGGTGGCTGTTTTCAGACTGAAAAAAAAATTGAAAACATAGAAAAAGGAAACTTTTTTTTTTTTTGGAGAGATTTTCACTATAGGGCGTGTGCGCTCGCCAGACAGACAGAGAGAGACATTAGAGACAGAAAGCGAGAAATCACCCCCCAGGGGGGATGGTCACGCCACAATCCCTTCTCCTCCATTCTCCTCTCGGGATCTTGGGCACGCACGCACACGCGCCCAGCGTGAGTTTTAAGCCACCGGGTCCAGGACGCGAACCGCGGTCGACTACATGGGAGTCCAGCGACATAGCCATTACGCTAACTGCTGGTTCCCAAAAAAGGAAACATTTTTAAAGAGAAAAAAGCACATAGAGTAAGAATATAAAAATATTTTTGAACAACTGCACAATGTGTTTGTGTTTTAAGCTAAGTGTTACTACAAAAGAGCCAAAGAGCTTTAAAAAAATTGAAAAGTTCATAAAGTTCCAATAAGCTACGTTAATTTATTACTGAAGATAGAAATTTTTTTTTTTTTTATAAATTCAGCATAGCTCAAGCATCCAGGGTTTAGGAAGTCTGCAGGAGTGTCCAGTAAGTGTTCTAAGCCTTCACCTTCACATGCCACTCATCCACGGACTTGCCCAGAGCAAATGGCAGTCCAACAAGTCCATTCGTGGTAAGTGCTCTAAACAGGTATACCACTCTCTGTCTCTCATGCTGTACTTTTTACTGTACCTTTGCTATGTTTAGATACCTAAACCCTACAATGTGCTCCAGTCGCCTAAAGGATTCAGTACAGTAACAGGCTGTACAGGGTTGTAGCCTAGGGGCAGCAGACTGTAACACCAGATAGCCTAAGTGTGTAGTAGCTTACAGCATCTAGGTTTGTGTAAGCACACTCCATGAAGTCATCATGACACTATCCACCCATGAATTTCTTTGACCATCATTAAGTGACTCACAACTATATTACTACCATTATCATCATCATTCCAAGCTTATTTTCCCATGTATGAGCCCGATTATTTGTAGAAATACTAGGTAGCAGAAATAAAAAGACCATCGAATATTTTGAGCTACTACTATCTGCTCAGTAGGTGCTAGGTACAGCCACTATTGCCTCATCTTCACTACAAATCCTGTAGCTGTAGAGACTGATTTTCTCTGTACTAGAAAGTTCTTGTCCAGGTTGCTTATGAATACAGGCCACGGAGCAGAGGCGGGTCCTCGAAGGCCCCCTATGGAAAAGCACCTGAGAACTATGCACTGGCAGACCAGCAATTGGGTCTATCTCTCTCCGCACTCTCTGGCGGAAGCCTTGGCTCAGATCGGTAACCCAGCCCAGGTCACAGCAAGAGCCACAGCTGAGATGAGAGCCTAAGACCGTCAGACCCCAGCCCACAGTCCTTCCTCATCACCAGTATGCTCTATGGCCATCAATCTCACCCTGGGACAGTTGCATTCGTAGGGGACATTTGGCAATGCTTGGGAACATTTCGGGTCGTCAGAGCTGGAGCGGGGAGTTGTTACTAGTACCTACTAGAGGCCAGGATGCAGCTAAAAATGGAAAGGAAAACTCAGAATCATCCTGCCCCAATTATCAGTAACTTGCTGTTGAAAATCTGCTTTGTGAGCTGGTTCCTGCTTCGACTTGGACCCTTGTGAGCTGGGGGACTGGGTTCACTCAGTGTTTCTGGCTCTTAACTTTCTTCATCTGTAGAATGGAGATGCTAAATCTCATCAGTTTCCCAGGATCTCGCGGGCTTAGGACATGCACTTTCTAGAAGCAATGGTTAAAAACTTCAGTTAAGTGGTCAGTAGATGGCGTAGCGGCTACGTCGCTGGACTCCCACAAGGGCCCACCTGGTTCTGTGTCCCTCGTTCAGAAACTTGAAACGCACCCGGGGAAGGCGTGGGAGCGAGCCAAGATCCCAAGAGAATGGAGAAAGGATTCCAGCGGCCAATCCCACCACCCCTCCCCCTGGGGGTTTCCCTCTCAGTGTCTCTGTATCTCTCTCTGGCAAGCACACGCGCCCTAAGGCAAAAACCTCTTAAAAAACAAAAATTTCCAGTTAAGGTGATACCTCAGCAATTTGTATGTCTTGAGCTCCATACGTTCTTCCAGAGGAGCTGGTTTTGGGTATTTAGGAGAAACCTGGAGACCCTTCGAAAATTCATTTCTCAGTTGCCAGTTTCTCGGAGCTGGACCGAGCACTCCCATTCCAAGCCCGGGAGGTAGGAAAGGACACCTGACTCCCAGGTTCCTGAGGTCAGGGCTTGTCTGGGCGGCCCCCAAGGCCGAGGCAAGCGCGCTTTGCCAAGGCGGAGGCGCGGCGGCCCCGCGCGCCTAGGCCCGAGGCTTCCGGCAGAGACTGGGGGGCCTCACCGCCGCCCGCGCAAGCACGGCTGGGGGCAGTGGCTGCCAGCACCAGGTGAGAGTCCGAGGCTCGAGGGTGGGGTTCCCGGGTGCCCCGGCAGGCTAGACCCCCTTGCTCAGCGGGCCAGTGGAGGAGCGCGCGGGTGGCTGTTGCGGGAGCGGTCGGTGTCCCAAGCCTGTAGCTCCCACGCCTTAGCCCTCGGTCCTGGGGTTAGTGATAAGGGGCGTCTCATGTTTGCAAGTAACTGGGTCGGGGCTAGGAGCGCACGAGGAGACTGGATCCTCCAGCAACTCCCCTTGTCCCCCCCCAACACACCACCAGATTTGGTCGAAGGGTTGCAGGCCCCACCCGACCCCCGAGACACTGCCTCTTGGAAAACCTAGCTGGAAAGACGTCAACACAACCCTCCAGGATTACTGACAGTGGTTGACTCGGGTCCACCCTCTCCCATCACTGTAGAGAAGCGAACTGCAAGTACCAAAGATGGGTTCTTCTCCCCAAATTCACGGCAGAGTACTCTAGCACCCCCTGAGTTCCGGCGTCTCAGCCTCTGCCCCTCTCGGGCCCTCTGTATCTGCAATCCCACCCCTTTGTTCCTTCCCTGCGGTCCTTGTAGGCGGAAAGGCTCGGCTAGGATGGAGAGGGGAACATTACGGTAGCCGTTCCCCAGGGAAGCTGGGGGTAGGGCGAGGGGGAGATGCGAGAGGGGTTTGGGGAATTTTGGAAGAGGCGGGGTTTGGGGTGCTGGGCCCAGCCTCCAAGGCCCAGAGAACGTGCGGCACCTCTGGGCTGCGCGCAGTTAACGTCTTCTCTCTTCCGGTTTTTTAGGGGGGGGTGGGTGATTGGGGGGGGTGGGTCTCGGAATTGGCTGCCGGCTGGGTGTTATTTGATGGCTGTGGCTCGTAGTGTCATCTTCACGCTCTCCCTCATTTGACTCCCCAAACCGGTCCGGTGGCGCTTGGGTATCCCAGGCCAAAGGGGACCTGTAAGGGAAACCGGGCGTGTTTCTACCCGCTGCCCAGAAGAGATTAGAGAAGTTGAGGGCCAGAAACAGCCAAGTTGAAAATGTGCAACTTGCGCCTTTAGAGGCAATATGGGGTGGAAGGGTTAGCCCTCTCTTGCTCATAAGGTTTTCCGTTTTATAAAGAGGGTGTGTGGCCACAAGGTTACAATCTGGTTTAATGTGCACACTAGGCCCTGTAGATTATGCTTTCCTCCTGTTAGCCTGTGCCATTCGCTATGGTAAATAAGTAGGAGGTGCTCTCCTTTAATTTTGGCCACTGTGACAGAATCTGTAAGGCATTTGTATTTAGGGGTCAGGAGGCCAGTTGTAGAGGAAATGGAAAAGAGATCTGTGTCCGGACCAACACTTGTCGTTCTGGGAAACAAAATAATAATATATATTTTGTATTTGAAAACTCGAGTCTTAAAAATAGTTTAACAAAGTGCCTCTATTAAAAATAAGTAACACTTACATAAGAAGGAACAGTCCTGAAAATTCTGGACTGTTTAGTTACTTGAGTATAATTATGGCATAATCTACCCGGGGCACTGGCTCTTGTTGGAAGAGGCCCTCAAAAGAATGACTTATGGCTTGGTGTAATTGGGAGCCAACCTGTGCAATAAGAGTAGTAAATGAAGAAGAGAAACTGGCCTGTAAAGAGAAAGGCTTTCTGGAGAAAAAAGAAAAAGGCAATGGAAATTGAAGTAGTGTATTTTGCTTTGTGTATTTTTTTTTTCAAAATTTTGTCAGGATAAGAGATAAACATAATTCTCAGAATACCATTAACATTTTGCTGTACATCCTTTTAAATCTTTTAGTATGTATTATATACCTAAGTTTTATATGTGTATGTAACAAAATGGAGTATTTTATCATTTTTTTTATCTTATGGATATCTTTTCATGGAACTAAATAAACAGCCATATCATTTTTTTTAGGATTACTTATTTAATTTTATTTATTCATTTATTTTAATTTGACCAGAAAGAGACACAGAGAGAAAGAGAGAGAGTTAAAGTGAGAAAGCAAGTCGCCAGGTTCAAGACTCGAACCATGGTTGACCATGTGGGAGTGTCCAGCACCTTAACCACCATGCCACCTGCTGGTCCCACCATATTATCATTTTAATGACTGAATTTTTCATTATATAACTGATTTTCTATTAATGGACCATTTTGTTCCAGTGGTTTGTTAATCACTTTTTAGTAGCGATGCCTTAGGTGCTTTTGTTTTTCTTTAACCTGTTTGATTATTGCCTTCAGGTTCCTAGAAAATAAATTGCTGAATCCAAGTATGTGCAATTTGAAATTCTGATCAATATTGCCAGGTTACTCTCCATCTCCATGTCCACTATCAATGCATGAGGAGAGTAGGAAGTTCTCGTGGAATCAGTTGGATAGAGACAGCTAATAGGTTAAGAGACTTTTTGTTTCCTTCAGTGACTGCAAGAGACGGGGCAACATGAGAGAGTGGACTGGGCACTGCACTGCGGAACTTACTGGTAGGAGAATTAATCCCTAAAGAGATTGAAATGAGTTTCAAGATGGCGAAAGAGGAGCCCCGAAGTGCCTCAAAGGACTTGCAAGAGCTGCAGAAGAAGCTTTCTTTGCTGATAGACTCCTTCCAGAATAACTCAAAGGTCAGTGTCCTATGTATAATGGAGGGATTTTAAAATAACACTAGTGTAAACGAGCTAGAAAGATATTTCTTTTTTAAGTAACAGAAATTTGGAGGTAGATTGAAATTTCTATCTCACCATCCTGCAGTGTTTAAGTTGTGACCTTCAAACTCACTCTCCAAGGTGGCTGCTAGAGTAACAACCATCATCATATCCATATTCCAGGCAATAGGATTAGGAGAAAGAGTTATAAGCCACCTCCAATTTAAGGAGACTTCCTAGAAGTCACACAGTACTTTGAGTTACATTTACAGGTCAGAATTTACTCAGATGACTACCCAGTGGCAAAGGCAATTCTTTTGCAGGATAAAGACAGGCCACTCTTGAGTCTGCCACAGATCCCATCCTTTTCTTATTTAATTGTTATATCTTGGCTTAGCTGTTAGGAGGACCCAAAGCCAGTGTTCCACCAGAAATCCAGGATCCATTAGGAGTATAACTGAGCCACAAATGTAATTAAAAATTTTCTAGTAGCCACATTTAAAAAGTAAAAGGAAATAGGTAAAGATTATTTCAAAAGTGTAGTTAAACTAATATTTCCAAAATATCATTTCAAAATGTAATCATAGGGCCAGGATTTAGTGTAATGACTATGTTGCAGGACTTCCATGTAGTCGACCATGGTTCAAGTCCCGGACCCAGCGGCTTAAACTCATGCCGGGCGCGTTTGCATGCATGCCCAAGATCCTGAGAGGAGAATGGAGGAGAAGGGATTGCAGCATGGCCATCCCCCCCTGGAGGGTGATTTATCACTTTCTGTCTCTCTATCTCTCTCTGTCTTTCTGGCGAGCACACATGCCCTGTAGCAAAAACCTCTCAAAAAATGTAATCATTATAAATTATTAATGAAAAAAGTAGCCACTGAATGGTGATGGGACTTGAGATAGTATGTTCTGCTTTCTTGCATATTTATTACTTTATTCTAGATGCCTTTCAGCTTTTTGTTAGAGGAATAAAAAGCTTCCCAAGATAAAACTATTAACATTTTCTTCTATGCCTTTCTTCTATGCAGTATACCTATGAAAATATATATGTGTATGTGACAAAATGAACAGTTTTGTGGTCTACTTTTTCCATTAGGACAGTTCCACTAGGGTCTAATGTGAGAAATGTGGCACTGAAGAGACCACAACTTGAGGAATTACTTATTTGAAGTCTAGAGCAGTGTATTCTATGTAGACCTTTTCTGGACTTACTCCAGAATATACCTGGCAGTCTTCATGGATTTACCAAGCTATTTTTAAATTGGACCAGTAGACTCTGGTCAGTTGACTGAGACCCTTGTTATAAAAAGCTAGTTCAGTAAGGCCAGCTGATAGGTGATCAAGGTGGCTGGATTCCACATGGCTGATAGCTCTGTTTGAGTCCTGACCCTGTAGTTTGAAAAACACACTGAGCATATGTACTTGTGTATCTAAAATATCAAAAGGAGAATGGCAAAGGGGATTGAGGTATGATCATTCTCCCTGGGGTATGATTTCTCACTTTTCCTCTTTTGTCTTCTCTTTGTCAAGTCTTTGTGCTCTATGGCAAACAAACAAACAAACAAAAACTGTTTAGCTCAGTAAGAAAGGCCCTTGTGCCTGTTTTATGTTTACAACTGATTCTCATTATTCATGAATGTTCTATTTTGTGCTCTATGGCAAACAAACAAACAAACAAAAACTGTTTAGCTCAGTAAGAAAGGCCCTTGTGCCTGCTTTATGTTCACAACTGATTCTCATTATTCATGAACGATGTTCTATAAAGTCACCCTCAAGTGAATTAGCAAATACTGAACCATTCCTCCTAGGGGAAATACAGAATTTGGTTTCTGCAATGTTTTTGTCCATTGATCAATACATGATCTTATTCTAGGTGTATTTCTGGTTAAGGACAGTTTAGTATCTCTTCTTGATCATTAACATTGAATGCAGGGCCACTGGCACTGTAACTCAGGTCTTGAACAGAGCTTCTCTAGCACACGAGCACCTCCCAACTACATGCTCTTAGGAACACGAGACGTTGCTTTAGTACTGCACTTGGGGGCTATTTGAAACAGTGACATCACTAACCAACAGCAGCAACATGTGAGAAATATGGCACTAAAGAGACCTACAATAAGGACACTTGCTCAAAGAACTGAAACAAGAAGGCCACTGTCATCTCATCTGACCTCAGTGGGGAATGTACTTATCACGCAACTCGAGTTTTCCCTGTTGTGTGCGTGTCCCTGAGTGACCCTTAAAGCACTGCAAGTATTGGTTTTAAGGTTACAAATAAATTGTAGTGAGTAGGCAGACACACACATGGAATCTGTGTAATAAAGATGGACTGTGTATTTCTTAGTGGCAGTATGCCAAGTACCATATGCATATGCTGGGCATGCAGCATGTCTTAATGTGGTTAATATTCACACCTACCTTCAGAGGTAGACACTTAAGATAAGCCAGTTTCTTGGCATTTCTTCACTTTTATCTGGCATCTTCAGCTGTGTCCTTTGGAATAGATGTGGGCTACATAACTACCAGGCCAGATGGCCTCAAGAATGGCGGGAAAAAGTACCGGCTGCCTGAGTCCTGATGTTCTTCGGATATTCCTGAGGTCATTTCTTTTAAAAATTGTCTTCGTATTAACTAATATTAATTATATTAATAACTTAATAGGGGCCAGGAAGTGGCACAGCAATAATGCAACTGGACCCATAGGGGGAAAGTCTTGGGTTTATGTCCTGAGGTCATCCTGAGCACACCTGGCAAGCAAGCATTCTGTAATAGGCTAGCTGAGACTGGGTATAAATCCTGGCATGTGGACCTTGGTGGGGGTGCCCATCTCTTCCCCTCTCTCTGTCTCTCTCTGTCTCTCTCGCTCATGGAAATAAACTAAAAACTCAGTGGAGTTATGTTGAAGGAAAAGGATCAAATCACCTTATAAACCCATCACAAACAAGTCTGGTGGTGGTGATATTCATATTATAGTCATGTGTTACTGAACAACAGGGGTGATAGTCTGAAAAATGCCTCAATGGACAATTTCATCGTTGTGCAAACATCAGTGTACTTATACAAACCCAAATGTGTAAGCCTACTACACACCTGGGCTATCTGGTGTGATAGTCTGGCACACTGCAAACTTGAATAGCATGTTACTGTACTGAATACTAGAGGCAGCTGTAACAAAATGGTAAGGATCTGTGTATCTGAACAGAAGAAGTACAGTAAATATATGATATAAAAGATAAAGAAGAGACCCTTCTATATAGGGCATTTACCATCAACGGAACTTCCAAGAATAGAAATTCCTTTGGGTAACTTAGGTGAGTGGAGAGTGAATGTCAAGGCTAAGGGCATTATTGTACTCTACTGTACACTTTATAAATGCTATACACATCACTATATTGAATTTATAAAAAAATTTTAATTAAAAAATTTATTACTATCTTAATTTTGTTTATATTATATTGAATCACATATATCTTTACAGTGTATTACATTTCTTTTTTCCAGAAGGAATACTTTGTATATCAGTCAAGACAAAGACATTACTATCCACATCATCATCATCAAATAGATTTTCATCATTTTTTTTCCAGATTATTATTCTTCTTCTCACTATTATTATTATTTGGGTTTTTTTGGGAGAGGTTTTTGCTATAGGGTGCATGCGCTCACCAGGAAGACAGAGAGAGACAGAAAGTGAGAAATCACTCCCTGGGGATGATGGCCATGCCACAGTCCCTTCTCCATTCTCCTCTTGGGATTTTGGGCATGCACGCACACGCGCCCGACATGAGTTTAAGCCTGGGTCCAGACCTCAAACCTCGGTCAACCACATGGGAGTCCAGCGACATAGCCATTACACCAACTGCTGATCCCTCTCATTATTTTTTTAAACATTCAATCACTGTATGTCATTTTACTTGTAAAAATGAAATACTTCTCAGAACAGTCCAGTTGAGAATACTATATGTGTTATCAACACTTAAACCATTTCTGTGTCCCACTAATGTCATGCCTATTTGTTCTCTTGCTATCTTTCTCTGTACTCCTCCCTTCTCCCACCCCATTCTACACTGTCTTCAGCATTTCTAACTGCTTTTATGCTCTCCAGTATTTCGATCTCCACCATAAAGTGCAAAGAGTTGGTATATATTAAGTGGATACATACAATATCTTTCTTTCATGTCCTGGTTTGCTTCGCTCAGCAATAGATCCTCCATATCTGACCACTTTTTACCAAACGCCACGATCTTATTTCTTATGACTGAGTAGTATTCCATAGAGTATATGTGTCACATTTTTTCAGTCCATTCATCTATTTGTGGACATTTGGGTTGGTTCCATGTCTTAGCAATCGTGAATAATGCTGCAATAAACATTGATGTGCAAGTGCTTTTCTGACCAAGCATTCTCCTGTCCTTTGGATAGATACCCAGAAGTAAGATTGCTGGATCAAATGGTAGTTACTATATTTGTAGGTCTTTGAGGAACCTCCATATTATTCTCCACAGTGGATGAACCAGTTTACATTCCCACTAACAGTGTAGGAGAGTTCCCCTTTCACCATGTCCCCACCAACATTTAATCACTTTTTATATTTTTAATCTTCACCATTCCGACAGGGGTTAGGTGGTATCTCATGGTGGTTTTAATCTGCATCTCCCTTATGATGAGGGATGTTTGAGCATTTCTTCATATGCTTTTTGGCTGTTCATATGTCTTCCTTAGAGAGGTTTTTGTGCAGTTTATTTTCCCATCTTTTACTTGGGTTAATCTTTTTTTTTTTTCAAGTAATCTGCTTGAGTACCCTGTGTATTCTGGTTATCTGTCCCTTATCTGAGGCATATTTTACAGAAATATTCTCCCATTCTGAGGGTTGTCAGTTCACACTTGTTACTGTGTCCTTTGCTGTCAGAAACTTTTTAGTCTGATATAGTCCTACTTGTCTATTTTAGGGATTATTCCCTAGGCTTTGGGAGTCTT